GCGCTGAGCGATTATTGCGCAGTTAAGGCAAAAGCTGACACAAATACCCGGTGCGAATAATATATATATGTGTGTGTGTGTGTGTACTCAGAATGAAAGAATTTTCCAAGGGTAGCTCACCTTATTATTCAGAAAGTATATTTCTCAAAGCCAGTGGTTTTCTTTATTCATTTCATGGTAAAAATATGTTTAATTTTCTGGGTGTTTTTTCAAGCAACCATTTATTTTTTATGCTGCTTATATGAAGAACATAAAACAAGATTTCTCATTTTTCTTATATTTAAAAATTATTTCTAAAAGCAAGAAAAACTTTCTGGGTGATTTTTTCTCTAAGTGTGTGAAAGGGGGCATGTTGGTTAATATATGCAGGCAGTAGTTGTTGGAAAATTGTTGCAGCTGTATTTATTTATGAACCACTCTCTTTTTACCCCTTTCTTTTTTTTCTTTTGCCTTCGTCTGAATTGTGCCTTTTATTTTACACCCGTTGATTAACTATGCAAATGCTCCGAGCAGGCGACTGTAAGCCATGTTAATTATTTTATGCACAGCAACCTCGGAGTGGAATAGATTAAGGGGGAGGCGGAGGAGCTGGTTGGGTGGATCAGCTTAACAAGTCAACGCTGATTGCATTTCTGCGAAAATTTCGTTGGTTTCAAAAAAAAGAAAAGTAGCAGCACAAAGCACTGGATGAAAAATATCACGTATACACCCCGTCAGCTCGAAAATAACTTTGAATTTAATTTAATCAAAGACGCGTTGCACGAGCAAATGTGCAAGAACAAAGTGCCACACGAATGAATTTAATTTCCAAGTACAAGCTTACTTACAACTACAAGTCGACACCAACACACACTTGAGAGGGAGAGAGAGACTGTGTGTGTGTACATGTTGAGTACAGTTTTCTGTGCAAATTTGCTCTGCACTTTGAAACTATTTGTGAAGTGAAGTGAAGACTGACGTAGTCTGATGAATGGTTGTATTTGCATATATATTTAAGTCAGTTTACTGTTTACGGTTTACCTTACGAGCTGTGCTTGTTTCCATTTCCAAGTACAATCAACTAAACCAATTACCAACTGTTGTTAAATCCTTGAACCACATTCAACAACTGTGGCAAACAATTACTCCTTTTCCCAAAAAAAAAAAAAACAATTTGATTGTTGAGCGTAGTGCTGCATGTGGTTCGCTGCCTCTTTGCTTGGAATTATCATACAATTGCGTATACGCCATGTGTAACAGTCAGCTGATGAGATCCTATTAGTGAGTTCAAGTGTGTGTTGGTGTGTGCTTCAGAGTGTGTGGAGGTGTCTGGATGTGTGTAGGTTGTAGCTGCAGCTGCAGCTAATTGCAGTGTGAGTGCTAATCCCCAGTTAACAGCAGTAATAATAATGATGATGATGAGGTGATGATGTTGATGAGGTGTATGTGTGTTTTCTATGTAAAAGAGTGTGTTTTGTGTGTGTGAGCTTGTGTAGGAGTGATGCTTAAGAGAAAGGGAAAGTGAAGCAAGTTCACAAGAGACAGAACAATGTAAAGAGAGTCAGAGAAACAATTTAAATAATGAGAGAAGCACGATAGAGAATGAGAGCAAGTTAAACCGAGAGAGAGAGAGATCAAGTAAGATAGGGAGAACAAGTTACAGAGTGAGGGAAAGCTAAAAAGAGAGAGAGAGGGAGAAAGAGAAGTAGAGAGAGAGAGAGAGAGAGAGAGAGACACACACACAGAATCAGAGAGTTATATGCCACTCACTTTATTGGATGCCCATCTCTTTGTCTGTGTGAGCGAGAAGCAAGATCAAGAACCAAATGTACTGCTTGATTTAACTACAAAAGAAGAACATCCTTTAATAAATATGATTTCTCTTCCCATCCAACTCTCTCGCTCCCTCTCTCTTTCTCAAAATCAAAATTTCCGCATTATCAACTTTTTATAAAGTTGAAAAATGGTTGGCATTTTTTTATTCTAAGTATTTGCCATTTTGAAGTTTACATCACATATTAAAATAGTTTTAACAGCTGCTTCCGGCGGCAACTTTATCCTTAACAAAAAGTGGGCGTGTCTTTGACGCAATGGCATTTGACATTTGTCTGCTGCTGGCAACATTTGGTGCTGATTTATTTGCTGCCTTCCATTTTGTCGTTTCTTGGTGTTTTTTCTTTTCGTTTTTTTGTTGTTATTTTTCTTTTTAGCTGCGACAAATTGTGTCACGTCAAAAGGCGAACGTTGAATTTGTTGGGTGAGCTGCGAAGTTTTAATAGCACTCGTTTTGGCGAGATGACAGCCGCCTATGAAAAATACAATTCTCTGCAACTCATACACACATATAGCATGCCATGGCACGCCCCCTTGCATGTGGCATGCCCCCCACACACACACACACACACAAACAGTTGTTGAAAAGTTTTAATGCTTGGCGCGTTGAAAACTTTTCGACTAATTGCATTACAAGCGGAAACGTGCAATGTATAAATGTGTGTGTGTCTATACACATGTGTATGTTTGTGTGTGTGTGTGTGTGTATATGAGGGCAGTATGTGTCTGTGTGAGTGGTGCTTAATTAACAGCACTGCCGCAGCTGACGCTGAGCTCTCTCAGCTCCTTAAGACTGCCTGCTGGCAACTTGGATTCATTGCTCAGTTTCCTGCTAACTTGGGAGTTGTGTTTTTCTTGCTTGTTGCTGTTGTTGTTAGACAGAGCCAGAGCTCTATAAATAGCCAGGCCAGGAAGCGAGAAACAGCTAACCAACCAAGTCGGCCCTAATGAACTCGGCTCGTGCTGCTTCTGATGGCAACTTCCTTTCATTTGTTGCTGCTGCTGCTGCCACACAATATGTATGTGACTGTGCCTCGCTTAGTTAAGCCAAGGTGTTATGTGTGGCACGTGGCATTTTAGTCTATAAATGAAAAAATATTATATATATATATATATATATAAATATATACATATATATTTTATCTATTTCAATATAAATACAAATATGACAGCATTAACTGTACCAAAAATGAGAAAAGAGAAATTCTGAGTAAACGAATTTATTACGATCAAATGAACCGCAAAAGTGGGTAGATGGAATATAATGGAGTGCCAAAGTATGTAACAGGCAGAAGGAAGCTGCTACGAACCCATAAAGTATATATTTTCCTGATTAGCTGCAACAGACGAGTCGATTTATCGATTCAAATCGAATTACGATAGCAATAAATCGAATAATTGTAAAGATATAGCCTTCCAATTTATATTATATGTACCCAGACATATTATATTTATCAACTGCTAAAATTTCATTCAGATCGGGTATAAAACTCAGATTTTGTTAAACCAAACCTCAGCAAGACAGCTATCTCTCTAGCAGGGTATCTGCTAGTCGAACTCTGTCGAGTAGAGACTTTTCAATTAATAATGTTTTAAAGTTTAATATACTTGGAAAACGCCAACAAATTTTCAACTTTTTTGTCGACTATTGTGCTTAAATTAAAAATTAATTACTTGATGATAAAAAAATATGGATTCTTACGTAATCGCAAACGTTTACTTGATGTTGTTGTTGTTTTTGTTGTTATTGCTGTGTTTGCTGCTATTAATAGCCTTTAATAAGCTTCTTATCGATTTATCAGTCGACTTAAAACCTCTGCTCACAACACAAAATTTAGCACACATGCTTTTATTTGTGCGGTTTCCCCACTTGTGGTTCCCCCTCCCCTCCCTTCCCCATTTCTCCATTCAGCTTGCTGTTGAGCAGCGCAATTAAAGGCTGCCACACACACCCAAAACACACCACTCTGTGCAAGCGTGTAAATTAATAAAATAATAAATTATTGATATGCATAACGCTGGTTAGCTGCTTGCCTTCTCTCAGTTACTAACCTGCCACACGATGGGGCAGCTAATCGAAGCTGACAACGTCTTGCTGTGTGTGTGTGTGTGTGGTTGTGTGTGTGTCTTGAATAGCTTTCTAATTAGTATGTAGCTGGCAAATGATCCTTGAGCTGCTACTTAGAGGTCGCTGTTGTATTTCAAGTATGTGTGTGGAAGCCAGAACCATTCAAGCGAGTCCTTGCTGTGGGTCACATTCTCTCTCTCCCTCTCTCTCTATCTATATATCTATCGGTCTCTCTTTTTTGCAGTCGCTATATGTGATTGCAGCATAAATTAAATCAATAAGGGGAAGGATTACACTTACCCTTGCCCTTGCCCTTTGACCAACACCTTGGCAATGTCGCCTTTGCAGCACATTTGTGCATATGTCCACTCGGTTCATTGGATGCACATCTCTATCTCTCTCTTTCTCTCTGTCTCTGTCTCTGTCTCTGTGGCAGCAGCATATCTAGATCCATCATTATTTCTACCTACATAGTGTACTCTTTTAAATATTCGTTAAAGGGCATATTGCAGTTCATAGAATGCAGCAGGCTTTTATTTAAACAGAACAAATTTAAGCAGCACAATTTATTAAGGGCAAAACTCATTTCGAAATGTTTTATGGATAGAGAAAATTCCTTGTATTCCTCGGATCGGAAGTAAAAATTCATAAATTTGGCCAATTAACTCAGATGAATCAATTTCACCATTTATTAGTGTATGTAAAAAACATTCCTCTACCATCCGAAAGAGAAGAACGATTTATTAAGTAAGTAAGTAGATAAGCTCATTTTGCCTAATTAGTTTTTGTACGGATTCTATCTTATCCTCATAAACCTTGTAATTGGGGACCTTATACGAGTTCCATATTGAGGATAACGACACACAAGTAAAATATAAAACGCTTTAGTAATTCAGGAATCGGTTCTTTTTTTGTACCATTTCCATTTTCACAAACTGGCTTAAAGTTGAAAACTTAAAGCTATCTTTATTAAACTTGTCATATTTGCAGGCATAATCTATGAAGAACGTAATTTATGTTTCTGCCAGGGTATCACAACTTACCCAACCGACAAATATATATTCTCTTTTTTTATTATTTTGTCTATTCTCATCGACGTTGCTCTTGTTTCTCTTTGCAGTTGGGCAATCAGGAGGCCACCTGGGTTGTGGCCGACTATATAGCCAGTGCGGGCAGCAACGAGCTGAGCGTTAGCAAGGGCCAGCAGGTTGAGATTATTGAGTTGCCCACAGCCAGTGAGCCGGACTTTTGTTTGGTGCGCCTAAATCCGCAGCATGACGATTCCGCCGTACAAGAGGGCCTGGTGCCTGTGGCAGTGCTCAAACCGCCGCCAGGTGCCCACAAGCAAGGTTCGTCCTCGGCCAGCACCGGAGGAGCAGCAGCTGGCGCAACAACAGCAACAACACCCTCACAAAAGCCAAACGACAGCATGCAGGATCAAGGTGAGCATAGGGGTGAATAACAAAGCAGAAAAAAAATGTCCTTAAATTTAAGAAATTCGCCAACTCACCTTTATTATTCAGAGAGTATATTTCTAAAAATCGGTGGTTGTCTTTATTTAATTTCAGGGTACATTTTTTATAGATTTTTTGTTGTTTATATATTATTATAGTTACAGTAGACTTTACGACAATTTGAACTAATCAAACATAAAAGTCGAGCCAGTAATTTTCAATATTTTACTTTTGAATTTTAGAAATAATATTTTCTAGTTTCCAAAAAAGCATTTTTCATCAATATTTCTATAAAATGCAGATAAATACATTAGTTTTGAGATTATCGATTTAGCAAGCCTTTCTAACTTTTATAAATTCGTTTTCTTATGTTTAGAAACTATTTCCAGTGGTTTTCTAAAATTTATAAATATTTTTCTCAGTGCAGGGATAAAGAAAAACTCAATTACTCTAAATATTTATAATTTATTTATATTTATATTGCTGCTGTTTCAGGCAATCGCAGCAAGGCGGATGCATTATCCTCTTCTACAAAGCGACGCGGATTTAGCGGGTAAGTTTCACTAAAAAAAAAAGAGAAACCTTTAAGCGTTTTAATATGCAAAGTGATGGTTCTCTGTGTGTGTGTGTGTGTGTGAGTGCGGGTGTGTGTGTGATTGTCAAATGTCAAAAGGCTCGCAAGTTAGCCAACTTGGCAAGTTGACTGTCTCTCAAGCCTTTTGGGTCACGTCACACTGAACTGAGCTGAGCTGAAATGCGTGACACTTTAAGTGAGTGTTGCATAATTAATATACCAAAAGAGTGATAAACAAGTTGTTAAGGCTTTAAGCCAAGACATTTACGACACTCTGAATGGCAGTTTGTGGAACAAGGCCATCACTGAATGATTTGAATTATTTAGAGAAATGAAGATAAATAGTTTGCTTGCATATTAACATTATTATTGCTCAAGTGCTGGAAACGCTTCCTTAAATATTTATTTGGTTTTAGTCGACGAGCTCTTCTCCTTTGAGGCATTCCATTAAAGTTGAGAAGCTGCTCTTAAATACTCATTCAGAAGTTTCTATTTAACAAGATTTGCACAGCTGAACAAAATTGCAATTCATTGTAGGCTTCCTCAAGGCTTAGAGCCCTTTTGTATGCAGCCAAGTTTGTTAACAACATTCTGATGGTGTTTGAGTTTTGTCTAAACTTCATTGCCAGCCATTGTAATCCAACTGCAATGCTGTACAACAAATGTTTTCTTGTTGTTGTCGTTGTTGCTTATAGTCACTTTTCCACTGGTTTCATAACTGCTGCTTTAGTGGAAATATAGCTCCGGCCAAGTTTATCAGTTTGGCCGGTAACAAAATCGCTATCAGGCATCAAGTTGATTGTCTCATGTTGGTCAACGGAATAAAAACCAATTGAAAAGAGCATGTCATAAAATTTATCAGTGTTTTCTCTGTCTCTTTCTCTTTCCCAGTCTCAATAGGTTTCTTCACTGCGGTTTTACTATTGTTGTCCACTAAACTGATAAGTAGTTGACGCATTCTACGTCATTTGCGCAAAGTATAAAGTTCTCTGTAATGTACATGGCAATATAACGTATAAGAGTATATAGTAAATCTGAAGTGATTTATCATGCACTTGACTTGGCTACTGCACATTTCACTTGTCTCCGTTCCTCTCTTCGGGCTCATGCGTCATATTGTGGCAAGTTGAATATTCAGCTTTAGGAGAGAATTCACTCTGCAATTATCTCAAATATAGTTCAAGCTCTATTAAAATTTACAACTTACTTAAGGACTTATGATGGAATTATAATGTTGCTTTCAAGCTAAGGTATATATATATATATACTCGTATATATGCATATATTATCAGATCTTTATATTCAACGGGTTGAGTTTCTGTTTGTTGCCAATCTGATGCCTTCAGCAAAATGTCAGATAAATACCAAGTTTCTTCGACTTATTGCTTTTTTGCATATGAAACTTGAAGTTGATTGGGATTTTGCTAAAGGCATTGGATAAGTGGGAGCTGACAGAATAGGACCATTATACCATTTAGCTGCCATAGGAACAATAAATCGGGTGACGAATTTTGAATGACATCTATTAATTTGCTTAAGATTAGACATTTCACCTTTTCTGATCAATTATCATTTATAATATTCAGTTAAGACAGCCACACCTGAAGCAGCTATCATAAAAAAAATATTTGTTTAAATTGAACATTTTTTTTTAACATTTGTTTATAGCAAAAAAAGTAATTAATATTCAGCTATAAATAAAATTTGCTTAAAACGTACAAAAACCTAATAATTCGAAGGTCTACAAGGGTATGTAAACTTCGGCCTGAGATAAGCATTCTTTATTCTTTTGATTCCACTCAAACAAGAATGTTCGTTAAATATCCCAGTATTTAATTGCTATATACTAACATTTTTCGTCTGGTGTATAATCGCGTGTCAAGCGCGAGCAATAAAGATATAAACCTATTACACTGAACAGCTCGAAAACACAACAACAACAACGACAATAATCATAACAACAACACGTAAAGCTCGTCAAGCAGAGTAAACAAAATAAGAATTGTTTTGAGCATACCCTATATACATATATATATATATTTATATATACATAATATACAATATAAATCCACTTTAATTGCTACTAGATGATTAGTAATTAAAGTGGATTTAAATTGCAGATTATGCAAATATAAACATCGATTCAACTATAAATATTTCTATATATTTCACATTAAGCAAAGGTTACTTCTCTTTTTAATCTCCACTGTTGTGTACAGGGTATCTGTTAGTTGTGTACTTACTCACGTCACTTGTTTCATTTTTGTTTGTTATTTTATGAGCGCGAATTCGCTCAACTGTTGCTCACAGTTGGCATTTATCTATTCTTGGTTACTCTTTGTGTGTTTTTGAGTACTCTTTTTTTTTTTTTTGAAGCAGCAACTGTTTCTGGAGGGTTGTGTCATTGTGTGTACGTGTGTGAGAGTGTATGTGAGTTGTGTGTGTGTTGTGTTTCTCCAGAAAGCGAGAGCTGTTTTATAGAACTTGGCAAGTTTTTTGGTTCGCTCAGTCGATTGTCAAACGCCGGAACGTAACGTAACGTATACGCAGCGTGGAACGTTGCTAGCTTTGTTCGCTGAAAGCGACGTCTTAAAGATATTGTGTATTTGTTAGAACAGTGCCGTTGTAGCTTATCAGCCATGTGTAATAACAACAACAACAACAACAATATCACCGAATTAGATAAGCAAAGCCGTAACGGTGTGCAGTTTACCCGTGCCAGTGAAATCCCCCCCAAAAATGATGATAATCATTATGCTGATCATGATAATAACAATACAATTGTGAATGCGAAACAAATGAAACGCTATTCGGTGCTAAGTCCGCGACCCAAACACAAGCAGCAGCCGCAACTCGTAAAATCCATATCGCTGAACATCACATCATCAAATCATTCACATAATCCAAAGCAGCAGGGATTTGCCTGCTTCTGCTGCTGTCCCGAGAATCCTCAGACGACCACGACGCCCAGCGATGTCGTCGAGCATATGAAACCCTGGTAAATCTATATAAATTGCCTAGTGTATTTTACAGTTGTGTAAGAGTCTGGAAAAGACAATAGGCTGCAATGGGATCGATGTCCTCAGGATTATTTTATTTAATCGATCACTTTTCCATTTAGCTAAAATTTGATTTTCGATTCCTCTTTGAATTTTGCAAGAGCTAGAGTCTAAGATGATATTTATGTTCTTGTATTGCATACTTAACCACATTTTACTGTTTGGATACCTGCCTACGACAAATCTTTTAAGAGGTCTTGAATCTATTTTATTATCGAAACATCTTTTTGAAATTGTGTGAAGATTGGAAATTAAGCGCAAATGTTATTCAAGAATACATTTTTCGAAATCGAAACTGGATCCACAGCTTTCTTGATTGACATTTGGAACCGAAGCCGAAATTGAATATTATTTTAAAATGAATAATATATGAAAAACCCAAAACATTGCTCTCAAAATAAGATGATTAATAATAATATTATTATCATCATACATCGATAAATCATCCAAACAAAATTAGCATGAACTTTAATGAAATAATTCGCTAAAAAAGTGGAACTAATCCAGAAACCTATGCATCTCCTTGACACTCTACTGCACCGGATACCCTGCTGATTGCAAATAGGAGTTATTATACAGGGTATCTGATGGTTTTACGTTTTGGACAAGAGCTCTCTTGCTGCCGGCACTTTTACTTCTGCACAATGAGCAGCCCTTGTTTGCTTTTATTTGTTTACTATAATCCAAATAGTGCGATTGCCCTCACGTTCAATTAGTTACATGTGTAGTTGACCCCCTTACCCCTTCCTCTCCCTGGTCATAAGTCGAGTGGTTAGTTTCATTTGCAACAACAACAACGACAATTACAACAATAGCAACAACTTATGCGCAATCAAACCCAACAACGAAAACGTTTCCGTCGCTCGTCGGCTATCAGCTTCAAATTTTTTGATTTTCTTTTTGTTTTTTTTGGCTGTGTTTTTGTTTGTGCAACATTATCCATTATCCAGCGTAAACGTCTTGGCGGCAGATTCGTTTTGTCGGTCCAAAATTCGTATTTGATTTATTATCATCAGCGTTTGTCATAAATATATATAGCATATAAACATGGACGATATAATGTCTAATCAGACGACTGCTGCTGATGCTGACTTTGGGCACGTTTCGCCCTACACTTGTGCAAATAGATTTCCACAAGTCACAGTTGTGGCAGGCAGCAGCAGCAGCATCCACTTGCCCCCGAAACTGTAACAAGCAAATGTATTTTTAGCACAGTCTATGAGCTCATTAAACATCTCACAAGTGCGGCTTGCTTTCAGCGGCTAATTATTTATTTTATAGGAATGTTGGTTTTGATAAACTTCAATTATTATTCTGTTTTTATTTTTAATTACAAATACGATTTGTTATGCAACAATTAATTGATTATAATTTCTGCTCTTTAGACTTCTCGGCGAATGGGGAAATCATAATTAAACTAATCTGCGATTACTTGAAATGAATATTAATAAAGTAGAGTTCTTCAGACGAGAGTGCTCGACTAGAACATACCCTGAAGCAAACTGTTAAATGTAATATTATGCATTTATATAATGTATATAAAAAGTTATGGAAGTTGGAATTTGAACTTTTATAAAAAAAAAGCATAAGAAATGTTTTAGAAAATCATATTTTCAAGTTTTAATGCAGAATTAATATGGATAAAAAGTACTTAACAACATTTAACATCATTTAGAGATCGGAATTTAAGGAAGACTATATGTTTGTCATTTATTGCTATCGGTAATCGATTGATATCGATAATCACGAAACTTGTCCAGTGCTTATACCTTTTTTTATCCTATTTTAAATGGACTAGGGTATTTAAATGATTCCCAAGGTGCTGCAATCGATTTGCATACAGTAAAAACTATGCAAGCACGCCTGATTTATAGAGATATAAGCTTTTAGAATTACTGGGAACTCCCATTGGCGTGTTCTGGTGCTGTTTCAGCCATCAGCTGTCTGTCGGAAACCGGCTTAGTAATTCCCACAGATGTTTGCGTTAATTGTGTGGAACAGGTGAACCTGTTTGTAACAAAAAAAAAAACAATTGAAATGGAATTGCTACTATTGCATTCGTTTCGCTCTTATGGCATTATTAGTATTATTGTTGCCTACTTGTTTTTGTTTATTTTGAGAAATGTAAAAACAGAAACGCGCCTGACTGTGAATAGTGGGAGAGGAGAGGATCTCAAGTAAACATTTCTCAGTTGCCGCAATCGGATTAGTCAGCATGCAGTGATTGTTCTTCTTTTAGTCATTTTTCTTTAATTGTTATTGTTTTTGTTGTTGTTGTTGTGGTTGCCTCGTTATTTGTTGATAAGCTCGGCTATTGAAGAAGTTGTTATAAGTCTTTACATTAATCATACACGCTGCGGTCTGTTTATGTTTTTTCTGTTTAAGGATACAAATGGCGTCGATTGATTTACATTTCTATTTGTTTTTCGTTGTTTTCATATGTCTAATTATATATATCTCTTGGCTGTCTTTATTTTTGTAATTACACAATTTCGCGTGAAATTGAAATTGACAGTTTGGTCGATAAGCAAACTCGGACAATCTTATCAGCATTATCAGCTCTTAGCTTCGACCGGTGATTAGTGTTATTGTCTGAGTCCAATGAACAAGAACTCATTTTTGTTTCAAGCTTGTTTATTTATTTCGTTTCTTTGGAATTGAAGTAATTTATTCCTATTTTTATTTCGATTGTGGTTTTATATATATTCATTATTTTTATGGCTATCATACAGAATTAAACAGAAGCTCGAAAATTAGCTGTCCATTTTACTTGACCTTTACTCATTCAAAATGGGTTATGCGTATTATTCTAATTTGAAATATAAGTTCTGCTCACCCCTGGCATATCAACTTGAAGAATAAAGGACACAGCTTTAAAAGCAGAGTCTTTCAATTAATATGACATAATCTTGCGCAATTGCAGAATGTATTTAACAGCTGTGTGCAGGGTATATTGTAGTCAGTCGCATTCTAACTTGTTTCAGCCTAATTAAATGCATTTAGTTCACTAATTTATGGATTTATCTAGGACTGTGTCCTGTCGTATCTTGTTGAGGGTACATCCAAAGAGTGCGAGTTTAGTTGTCGCTACTCGCTCGCTTGGACATAAATTATATACAAAATACTTTCAATATTTGCACACTAATTGGGCATTTTCTGTTTTCCTCCTCAGCTGCTCGGCTCGACTGAGCATTGAGCAAAGCCATTTAGCTCTTCTGTTGTTGTTTTTATGGAGAGTCGAAGCCAACTCAGCAACTAAACATGAATATAGATTATTGTCCAGCACAGCGTGGCTTTGTGTGCAAGGTCCTCCAACTGAGGTGAGAGTCTCTGCTCCTCTCTTCTTTGTTCTCTGCTCTGCTCTCCTCTTCTCTTTTCTGCTCTCCTTTTGTCTCAAGCGCTGTGTCAATAAACGCGTTTATTTGTTCCCCGTCGAGGCTTGTGGCAGCCGGCGGGGCGAGGGGAGGTTGAGTAGATAAGCGCGTGCTGCCAATTCCAATGAACTAAATGGACACATTTGCAAGTGTGCAAACACACACACACATTGACACACACACACACACACCACACTTACACTAATACACTCTTTGTTGCATACTTTGGGGCGACCTCATTAATACGCAGACCCCGCCTCAAGTTCACTTCCCTTCACACACACACACACACACGTAAAGCGTATGTGTGTGTGTGTGCCTGTCTGTGTATTAAACGTTGCCTTATTTGCCTAAAACATTACATCAGCGAAATGAATTTTGAACGTGAACGAGCACGTAATAAATTAAATAATATTTCCAAGAACCATCTTTGCTTCCCTCTGTTTTTTCCTTTATTTTTTCCTTTCGTTTTCCTTTTTTTTTCTGTTGTCCATGTCAATGTTTATTTTTACTTTGAATTATGTTACGGCTGCTGCCTGAAAGTTACTCAAGTGACGAAATGCAACTGCAAAAGCGCCGTGTTGCATGCAACATGTTTTTCCTTTTCGCGCTCTAAGCGGATTTACATTTGTCAAATTGTTGAAATACTTGATGAAATGCGTAAGGAGCTTTGAGGCAGCGACTGAATACAGGGTATCTCGAATAGAAAATTTGCGGTTTAATAATTGCCAGGCAACAAAATGTGGCGCTGGCATAGTTATAATTTGTACCACATTCGAAGCGTTACACGCCCAAAATAGTTGAACCTGACTAAAAATAAATCAATTTTGCATGAAACACGGAAAATTCAGGTGTTGCTTTGTGGTTATTTATAATACGTAGCTTGTGGCAGCTGTGAAAATATGACTAAACAATTTAAAGCTTAATAAATGATTTCTGTTTAGGTTGTCTGAGTTTTGTTTTATTGTTTTCGTCCACAAAAATATTAATAATACTATTTATGGGTTTGACTTTCTTATTATCTACTGAACGCCATGAGTTCAAATAGTCTTGGTTCAGCAAATTTACGTTAAAGTACTGAAAATGGTGCTGTTGGCTTGTGCAGATAATTAAATGGCTTTTTTGTGGGTCTGCCAACAGGACAACGACCCCAAGCTTACCAGCATGAAGTCCTTAAGGTGGGCTAAGAACCACTCGGTTGTCGTCATCAACATTCGCCAAATCTGAACCCCAGCAAGCCAACCTTTGGGCTAACGTTAAAAAAGCCGCCAAATTAATGAATGGCAAAGAACTTGGATTGCAGCTTAGCAGTAATTTAGCTGGAGCTGCCCAACCAACGTTTTTCCTACATAGTCCATTAATGCAACAAGGATGTGCTGCTAATATGGCCTTCAGAGGCCTTCCAAAAAGACTGGAATACCCTTTTGTTAGGCGATGTTTGGAGTGTATTTTTTAAGTTAAGTTTTAAGTTTCACCTCAATCAACTAAAAATTCTTATTGTACATGAATATCCAATATTAATATTTCTGTCTGATTAAATTTTGTAATATTCTCACTCGTCTCTCTCTCCATAAAGTATTACACTTTATGTGCATATTGCTTATTGCTCTGCTCGATTTTCAGTTGATTAATGGCTTCATCTTTTTTATGTTCTTGGCGTTTTTGAAAAGCCATCAAATTTACTTTTTTTTGTTTTGGTAACTGACCCATAAACTTGTGCGAGCTGAAAATTAATCAAAATTGGTTTTTATGGCCAATGCCTGTTAAAAATTAAGCGAAGAAACTTGCGACGTTAAAACTGAATAAAAATCATGTTTAAAAACATAAAAGAAAATCACCTTAAAATGTGTCCAATGATTTTCATATTTTTTATTTTGCATCAGATTTTGATAGCAGTGGAAATATGTGAATTAGTTGAGGGGAAACGCCATAAATTGGCTGGCAATGAATGCTCTCTTTCAACGCCTCAGCGCACTGGCCGTGTGCCATGAACTTGGCACCACTGTGCGCGACTAAAACAGAGAGTGAGTGTGTAAGAGAGTGAGAGAGAGAGGGAGAGGGAGAGAGATATTGGGGCTGTGCTGATATGCTGCTGTGCCGTTGGCGACACTAGTCTCATGTCGGCCGCGCAGCTGGACAGCCAAACACAGCCGATTTGCCTTCTACTTGCCTCTACCTCTCTACTCTACTCTAGTTCCTCTTCTTTATCGTTTTACGTTTTGTTCCCTCTTTTAATTGCGTATACGACGCGTGTGTGAAATGGATGAAGTTGTGCACAGCAGCACTTGGATGCACACATTACTGTACTGTAAACAGACTCTGATCAATCAATCAATCGAACCACCTCTGATCGTTATCCTTAACATCCTTTCGTTTCTTTTTTGTTTGCAGGCGCAAATGGCTGCCGCAACCGTTGCGCAAACTCTCGCAGAGCAAGGTGGAGAAATCACCAAATAATGACAAGGCGCTCATGAAGAAGCCCTCGGAGAAGAATCTGAGAGTAAGTTGTGAAATGCGCGCACATTTTCTTGACGAGCGCCTTTCTTTTATATTTTATATTTATAACCAACAAACATGTACTATAAATATACTAATATAGCTATACATATATATATAATATTTATTGCTTGCTCGTTTGGTTTATAGCTAACACAGAAGCACACCGAGGAGCTGGCAGAACAGACGCCGGGCGCCAGCGGCAGCGTTGGCCAATTGCCACCGCATCCACAATTCCCAAATGTGAGCAGCAGCAGCACCAACCAGCAGCTGCAGCAGCAGCATGACTTTGAGCCGGAAGAGGAGGCCGGCTTGGAGCTGCCGCCGCCTATGAAACCCATACAGGAGCCGCATTTGATTGCCAATGGACCGCCCACATTTCCCAAGGATCTCAAGGAGGGCTCAGCCAATATGGTGAGTACATATATACATACATAAGCAAATGTATATACTAATCAAAGTACTACCAGAGACTTATATGACCTTTTGCATCTACCTGTATTTTATGAATGCCAATAATTGAAAGAAATTGCATTTCTCTGCTCTGCTTTTTCTACATCAAATTCAAATCAGAATCAAGTTGTTATCTTTAGATATAGAATGAATCTAGAGCTGCAAGCATGATTAAGATGAGCTTGCTTTTGAAAATCGGTTGAGTTTTGGCAGAGTAATTGCTAAGGGAACTTCTCAGATCCATAAGTGCATTTTGTGGCTAGAATTTTTACTTGAGTTTCGATCGAGAATCGCGTTTTCAAATTTGAATGTAGTGTTAATCTAGAGGTCAAACCATGTTCAAAAATGCCTTGCTTTTCAAAATCGGTTGAGTTTTGGCAGAGTTTTGGCTTAAGGAAGTTTTGATTCATGTCCAAAGAGTTTTTAGTCGAGTTTTCAACTTTATGAAAAAGTAATTGCTTTTTCAAATTTAAATAAATTTCAACTTAAGAAGACGTTTTCAAATGGCTGCCAAAATATGACTCAAACACTTCCGCTCGATTGAGTAGAGCATTTGGACAAGTAAAGCATAATTAAGAGGCAAATGTGGCACAAGGTGCAGCACAGCCAGCAGGCATGCGTACATTGAATTATATATGCTTGAAGCAGCTTCCTTTCCGAGAGAACTAAACTATTTGTTTTAGTTCTACTCAAGGCAAGGCGGGCAAAGCAGTTGTTGATGCTGATTGTTGTTGGTTTTTCTTGGCTGCCATTGTCTGGCTGTATTTGTTTGTTTGTTTTTGGTGGTCGCTCGGCTTGTTTGTTTAAATGCGTATTTCCCACACACAAATCAAAACAGCAGAAGAGCAACCACGTCATTGAGTAGATGATGTGCCGCTCAAGCAATCCGAGCACGAGTTGCTCGGTTTTTTTCTTCTTCTCAATTAGAAAGCATAGCAAATAAAACGAGATCATCAGCAGCAGTTGGGTGGTTGCTGGCTGGGAGGGTGGGCAGTGGGAGGTGGGTCACTCTTTGGGGCAGCCACCTTTCGCCATAAATGCGCCACTTTATTTTGTTTACACACTCAGCGAGAGACAGCTTGAGATGGCGAGAGAAATGGGGGGTGGAGAGTGGACATATGCCTGGCCGAGCGCAAGGCAAGGCAAGGCAACAAAAAAAAAAAAGAAAGAAAACTGAACGGACAGACAGACAGACAGACATACCTAAGATTCTCGACGCCTCCAACAATACCTACGGCAACAACTACAGAAACAAAAACAACACTCGGAATAAACGACGCATAAATTTGGCGCAGTCAAATTAGCTGGCAAAACGGTTTTGTGGGTGGACTGGATTGGTTGCCCGGGATGTTCTCTGATTCAGTTGTATATTGTTTTGAATTGCCGCACTTAACTCTAGTCTGAGACATTCTCTATCTATGTATATATTATTGGCTGCTTTATTAACCGGAAACTGTAGCTGAAGCTGAAAGGCTGCCAGCATTTGTCATGGCAAAACGTTAAGTGTACTTTTTTTTCTCTGAATAATCTTTGGCATAAATCAAGTATACGCAAAGAGCTGACTAGAAAACAATAAGTTGGCGCGTCTTCAGATTATTTCTCAGAAATTTGAATGTGCTCAAAATTTATATGGGATGCAAATGAATGAATGAATCCGCCCACAACTTCCGTCGGCCAATCGTCAACAAGGATTTCTCTAGAAGGTCGACTTTTATTAAGCTGCTTTTTATAGCCTGTCAACTGTGAACCCCTTTGAAAATGGCTAAACTTGTCTTGTTTAACCAAAGTTATGCGCGTCAAACTCAGCTGTTGTGTGTTTCATTTGTGCAACAGCAAATCATCAACAACCAAATTATATCGATTCATTTTTAATCGTTATTCTTTTGCGATCTACAAGGGTATTTTGTCTTCGATGTGCTGCTGTAATTCGGATTATCTGTCAGTCAACTTTGTTAGCCCACACATAAAATTATAAGTGCTTCTGGCTTCTTAATAACTGTGCAATATTAACAACTGGTTGTATCTAAATTTAGGCACACTTGTTGCAGCGCGCCAGGCAATGAGAGTCCCATTGAATCAATGACTTAGCCATTACGACCCACGATTAGCGAGGAAAACTCTCTCTCTCTCTCTCTCTGTCTCTCTTTCGTTCTCTGTTTGGCAGTGATGCCTAAAATGTCGCCATATTGTCTTTAGACGCCATTAACAACAATTGTAATAACTGTTGTGTGTGTCGCTCTCTTCCCATCTCACTCTCTCCCACACACACACATACACTCGCACACTCTATGTGTGTGTGTGTGTGACGCCAATGCGTTGCTGGTGTCGCCACTTGGACGCCCCACGTTGCCTTCATTTCCATCAATAAATTTAATGTCGTCTGCGAATGTTTTTCTTTCTTTTTTTCGGTTGTTTCTGCTTTTTAGCTTTTCCTCTTGTTTTCTATTTTATTACTTATTAGTTGAATTTAATGTAAATTCGCGCGTTTTGCCTTGTTTTGCTTGCCTTCCATATTTCTACATATATTTTAATATTTTTTAATAATTCCATTTTTTTTTTGGGCAGGTATTTGTTTACCTTGCAGGGTGTGAACTATTCACTTAACCCAGTTAGATTCACATAGTATTATTCTGCTATTGTTGGTGTTGTTGTTGTTAACTCTTTTTAACAATTGACAATTGGGGTTTCAGGCCGTTTCGGGCAAAATACTCACCTTTGTTTAGTCGTCGCCCTTTTTTTCTTTATTATTGTTTCTCTATTTGCACAGCCATTAATGCTTGATAGTAATGTCGCTTTTCGCGTCCTTTGTTGTTCTCGTTGTTGTTGTCTTGGTTGACATCAGTCGTTCGTGAAGCCGCCTTGAACAGTTAGCCGCCCACCACCCACCCATTTCCCCATTGAACCCAATTAAAACTGTCTGGCAGGGCATTTGGCCAACTACTTCCATGCCATTAGCAATGCTTAAATTCAGTGCCTGCTGTTATCAGTATGGGTTTCTTTATTTTTTTTTTTCTTTCTGTTTTTTGTTTTTGAAACCACATTATCCAATTAAGGAAATACTTGAATTAATTTGCGCGACCTTCAAGTGCACCACTTGCTTTGCAGTCTAGTTTTATTCCAATGGGAAATCACATAAAAATGGAAATTTATTTTATTTATTTAAGTGGAGTAAAAACAGTCCACAAATTTTAGAAAAAGCTGCACAAAACAGTGGAATTAAAGTTAGAAAATAAGTAAACTATAAAATGCAATCAAATAAAACTGAATCAACCTGTGGGGTAATAAAATGTGCCTACTTAGTGTGTTTTTTAAAAATACCCTAAGTTGACTGGCTTTGATACAGTCTTCAAAATAATATTTAAACACTAAATCTTTTTTAAGCTGACTGAGAGAATATATTCATCAAGATCGATCAACAGTTTCAGTTTAGAAATTAGTAGGGTGTTTGCTAGTCAAGCAGTCTCAATCAGAATTCTGCAGCACACAAATCTAAACTGCACTCACAAGTTGTCTTTAAAGGGTATTTAAAAGTCGTATTCAGCCCATTAATTCTATGCACATTCGCCAAATTTTGTTGTTTTTGATATTGCGGGTGAATTAATGTATTTATTTAAGAATTCATACTTGGGCATGGCCCTCTCACTCTCTCTCTCTCTTTCTACTGTTGCTCGCCGCACACACACGCACTCTCTCTCTCTCTAGTGGTCGCTGCTCTCTTCTGGTGTATTCAATATACAATTATTTGAGCGCTTGTCCCACAAAAGTGGCGACGCGTTGATTGAGAGTTTCTTTGATTGCCGTTGCGGGTGTGCTTAAGTGTGAGTGTGTGTGTGTGTGTCCCGTGTGTGTGTGTGTGTATAGGGGTAGCATCTACGCATATGTAAAATATATAGTCGCAAACTATTTGCGAGCCCTGACAGGTCACACATTCCCACAGAGACAGTCCAGTCAGTCCAGTCAGTTCAGTCAGTCGCATTTAGACACTCAGTTCAATTAGTTCGGTTGGCTTGTGCGTCTTTTGGCGCAGTCATGAGTCTTATTCACTCGCGACATCCTTATAAAGAGTGCAACAACAACAACAATAACAATATCAACAACATTTTAAAATTTAAATTTTATGTCCAAAAAAAAGGTGCTCGATAGGCAAAAAAAAAAGAAAATAAATTAAATTTCGCGTCGAGCCGAGTTCAACAATTTGAACACGTGCCATGAGCTGCTTTCTGCGTTTATTTGTAAGTGCCAGTTAATCGTGCAAGTGCAGTTTACTAAATTAATTAAAATATATAAAATTCAAAATATAAATATGAAATATGAAATAGGCGTCATTTCAGCGCGCTGGTTGCTGGTGACTCGTCTTGTGGCCCAAACGCAAATCTTATCACAAAACAAACAAAGACACAGGGCATGGAACCACAAATTCTTATAATATCTGCACATAGTATATAAACTTAGTTTGTATTAAAAACCACAAAAACAATAACCGTCCAGTTTGTAAAAACAATCAACGAAAGCTGCTTAAACTTGCGACTTTGCCACAATTTGATTTGGCTTATAAATTTGCTGGCTTATTTCTAGCTATTTATGCAACAATACTAACAAAATAATTGCTATTAATTATTATTAAGAACTATGTGTGATTTCTGATTTTTTTGGACTTACGCAAATGATTCAATTGATGCAGAACACTCTCTTACACCTCGATGCGATTTGATTTTTGATTTCTGAATCTTCAGCCAAGTAAATAAATTGCGCGCAACATTTAAAAGACTCATTTTGATGAGTTTACAAATAGAATATTGGAAAAATAGAAATTTGCATGAAATACAACCCAACGTAGCAAAAACAAAGAGCTTGACTAGGTCATACCCTGTAACCAAAGTTTTACCCAAAAGGAGTCTTAATCTGCTTACAGAATGTGATGTGTTGTTTGGTATTTTTCCTGTCATCTTGCTCAACCGATTTAGATACAATGATATATAAACTTGATATGCAAGACCCTATATTCTAAACTTTAGATTTTATTATCTTCAGCTGGATCAAGAGAATATATACTTAATGGGGTGGAAGATACTTCTTTCCGTGTGTTGCATACTTTTGCACAACTTGATTATTCCCCGTCTTAACCCAATTGAAATAAGTGCAAACGTTTATTCGCAATTGTTTCTGCTTGGCAGTAAACACCTGTCAATTCGGTATTTGTATGATGATGATATTTGTTTATAGCATAGAAATTGTGTTGAAATTTGTGTGCGTACCTCTCTGCTTGCAGTCCCTACCTGTAGTCTCTCTCTCTAGTCTATTTGTAGTCTTTTTCTAGTCTGGCATTCGTATTCGTGTCCATGCAAATAGGTGAATTCCGTTTATCTGGTTGTGCCTGCAAAAAGTTGCTCAATTAGTGCACATTCTGTTTTAATTGAGTTTGGACGGCAGCCGGAGAAAGTTGTGCATAATCTATTATAACTATTATAATACTTGACTCATTCTCTCTGTCTCTCTTGCTCTGGGTTGACATGTTGCAGGCCAGCACCGGTAAAATAGACAGCAATCCCTTATCGGAAATTGAACAAATTGTGCAAAAGAGTCGGGTAAGTAAAGCAGCAGCAGCTGCGCTTCTCATAGTTAAACTTAAATGGAGAACTAACTTAATTACCAACGAACAGGAACAACACGAATCCAATAGTCGGCCGGATGGCAGTGCTCCAAGTGAGGCTGGAGGCGAGGACAATGCAGCCACCAACGGATGCGCTGAACTCGGCTTTGTCCAGGGTAACAATGACAAGGTAAGCAGCACAACGAACTAAAGTGAAACGAACTCCAATTAATTTGTGCAAAAACTCTCTCTTTCTCTCGAGCAGAACAAAACAGATACCAGCGATAGCGAAGCGAGCGCCTTAAACAGACGCCAATTGGCGCTGAATGAGCTGGTAATCACAGAGGAGTCCTACGTGCAGGACCTCCAAATGATAGTCAATGGGTAAGTTTTTCTTATATTTTATATTGTGATCGATCAAATTGGACAATGTCAATCTCAACTTGAATTCCCAAACAGTTACATGAAGGAGATCTATAACAAAGAGATACCCAGACCACCGGGTCTGCAGGACGGCAAAATGGATCTGGTATTCAACAATATCAAAGAGATCCACGAGTGGCACAGAGAGTAAGTCAAATATAATATATATAATATTATATATATATAATCTTTGCGATTTCAGTAAATTTCTGAGAGCTCTGCGGCACTGCCAAAGATCGCCAGCGGATCTGGGGCCATTAATCGAGAGTTCGGCCAAAAAGTTCACCATGTACTATTATTTCTGCAGCAACAAACCACTGTCCGAGTATATAGTCAATGAGTATTATGATTATTTCGATCAGATACGCCAGAAACTCGGACATCGCCATGATGTAAGCAATCACACACACACATATATATTTATGTATTATATTAATTATGTTCAATTTGGCAGCTGAGTGCGTTAATTATAACGCCCGTGCAGCGCATTACCAAATACGGTCTCCTCATCAATGAGATCCTGAAACAGACGGAACGCGCTGGTCTCCACAATGAGGTCGCCACTTTAATTGCTGCCTACGAACAAATGAACGATGTGGTCAAGAAGGTCGACGACATGATGATGGTCTTGCGTGGCTTGCAGGACTTTGATGGCGAAATAACCGCACAGGGCAATTTATTGCTGCATGGAACACTGACCTGTGCCATCGATGGGGCCGGACAGAAGCAGCGTGATTGGAAAGTGTTTCTATTCCAGCAGATTATCATCTTTGCGGAAATACAAAAGCTGAAGACACCCTACAGCAATCCCCTCTTCAAATATCGTACGCATATACAGGTGAGTTATATATATAATGATAACTACGATTTCATTTATTTATAATTCTTGTTCTACTCTTGTCCTCTAGCTAAATCACATGCAGCTGAAGGAGCTGAAAGAGGGCGAGTTTAGTTTTCGCATCGAATCAACGGATCCAAATAAGCCAGCAGTTACCATCGACTGTCAGGCGGGATCGGAGAAAGCCAACGAAGAGTGGCTGGGCAAGCTAAAAATGATACTTGAGCAGCAGAGCGATTTGATTACACGTCTCGTAAATCCCCTGAGCAATTGAAACCACAACAAACACACAAAGTGTTGAATTCCAAATGAAAAAAGAAAAAGAAGAAAGAAAATAATATATAACAACTACAATTATACGATGAGAGTAGTTCTATATAGAATATAATAAAACAAAAAATAATATATATATGACATTGCCAGATATTTTGGGGCAGCCCCCCAATACCGAAAATCTGTCAGTCTCTAGTGAGCACTTAGCCTCGCACTTGTTTGTCTGAGCGTCTGTTTCTGTTCGTTTTGCTCACTATCGAACACACACACACACACAACACACACACCAACACGAAACACACACATACTCAAGTCCTAATTTGTATGTAGCTTGTAATTTATTTATTTATCATCAACCGAACCGCGTCTATATTTGTTGTATGTGCCGTCTCTTTATATTCCTCGAGTTTTCCGTGTTACATGAATAGCGAAAGTATTATATGCTCAAGAATATATACAAATATATACATAAATTTATTATATTATGTGTGCATTTCGTAAAATAATGTTCTGCCTTATTTTGAGTAGTTTCTTTTCCTATTTTATTTTTTTTTTCGTTCTTACAAAGCGGCAACCAAGAAAAATAACTCAAGTACTCAGAATCAAAAGCAATACAAGAATACTTAAAAAGAAAAGCAAAGAAAGAAAAAAGATAAAAACAACGCAACCATTTAAATAAAATTATTAATTAAAGGAAATGTATTTAATGAGTACGTTTAGTTTTAGTTTTTTGCAAATTTAGTTATTAACTTGATTACTACTGAATTTAGTTTTCAGTTATTAGAAACGGTGATTTCTGTAATTATGTCTTATGTAATTTCAGTGCAAGAAACGTTTGGAATATAATTTTAAGTTCGCTTTAATTTATATTAACATACACACACACACAACATGCAATTCAAAACGTACATGTATTTGTATTTTATATATACATTATATTTTACAAAAAAAAAAACAGAAAAGAAAAGAAAACGAAAAAAAAACCTATTTAAGCTTTAAACATTAATCAAAAGAAATTGCCTAAGTTTAGACATCTTTCAGTTTTAATTTAATGCATTAAATTAATAATAAAAACAAAAAGAGAAATGAACAACAATAATAATGACTTACTCAGATATCAAAGGAGAATTTGTTTTATTTTTTATGCTCATTGTTTTATTAATTACACGAAACAACAACCAACCAATCCACACATTAAACAACTTAAAGCACCTCAATGCATATTTATAATATATAAATATATATATTAGCATAAGTACATATAAATAATATATTTCTCTTTCGTCGGTGTGTGTTATATTATGTTAGTTAGGTAAGATCGAGTCTAGGGGCATGTACAGATTTTTAGAAGCATATGCGATAAGTCTGCTTAAGTCAGAGTTGGGGTTTTCAGTTGAGAAATACGCCTCATACGTCGGTCAACTAAAAGTACTCTTTTATAATAATAAAATGGACCAGGATTTGATTAAATGTATAAATCACACACAGAAGTAAGAAGTTACTAAACGGTTGTTTTACACATTACACATTTCTATATATATTTTTAAATAATTTCTCTTTGATTTTGTTTTTTGTTTTTTGTGACGCACTCAACATACACCGGTAACAAACTTATCTTATCTGGAATTCGAATATACATATATAGATATATCAGCATAAATGTAAACAATAATTATTTAGCATAGCTAAATAGAGAAGAGAGAACAGAGGAGAAGGAATAAGGAAGAAGGATAAAGATGAACATGAAATGTATTTTTTTACAAATATGTGAAATGAACCTCCGGCATTAATATGAAAGATACAAAGAGATAACAAGAATCAAACGCACATTGGAAACTTGCTAACTTAATAAAGGCCACAATTTTCTACATTTTTGCACCGCACACAACAAACACGACAAACAACACAAAAATTAAAAATCAAATCATAATTGATATTATCTCTAAATAAAAATCTATGCAATCTATGTATGTAATTGTGCGCGTAGTAGTATGTGTAACATAACTAAATATTAATTATGCATCATTCTTATATCCCTATTAAAAACTAAAACTTATTGTTGTACTTGAAAAACAAAACTGTTACGAGCAAAAACAAAACAAGAACAAACAAAAACCAAAAGCGAACGAACGTCAAGTTAATCTTAGGGGCAAATGAAGAGAGAATCTAGAAAATTGCTAATTTGAGAAATGAAATGAAATCTGCGCGTATTTTATGAATATTTAAATACAGTATAAGTATGCATATACATATACTTTATTATTGTGTACGTCTTTGCAAATAAACGTGTTAATCTGTGTTTTAGCCAAGTAAGCAAAGTTAATCAGCAAATCAATTTTGCAACATTAACGACACAACAACAAGAACAAACAACCAAAATAAATATATATCGAAATACAAATTGTATGTACCCAAAAGCATGTAATCTGAATTTAACAATTTTCAAAGTGAGTAAATAAAAGCAAAAGTAGATTGAAACTTGAATTTTAAATACATAACGACTCTTGCGTTGAGTGCCAAAGCAGACAGCTTCCAGTCGCTGTGCAACGGCGAGTGCCAAAGCAGACAGCTTACAGTCGCTGTGCAACGGCGAGTGTCAACGCAGACAGCTTACTGTCGACACACTCCTAGGAAGACATGCCTGTTCAAAAAGTGCTGCCCTTCTTTTTCAATTGTGAGTGTCAAAGCAGACAGCTTACAGTTGACATGCAATGCTCTACTCGTTGCTTTGCCCGATGAGAGACATGCCTGTCCAAAAAGTGCTACCATCCCGGCGAGCGCACTCTCAGCGAGTTGGCATCTCTTGGTCAATTGTGCCGAGTAATGCAAAAGCGTCGCAGCAGCAGCTGCAAGCAAATTCAATAAGCAAATTGAAAACACAAGTCAAGCGAAAATAAATATAGATAGAAATTAAATACATATGGAGGAGCTACGCAAGCATTTATCAAAGGTGAGCGTACCATGTGGTACAGCGCCCATCTACAAAGACGAATGCGTGTTCTCCTACGACAATCCGGAAACCCCAACGGGACTCTACGTCTGTCTGCAGACATTTCTAGGCTTTGGCGAGGCTTTCGTCTGCGAATATGCCGCTAAAACGGGCAATGCCGTTTTCCTGCACATCAAGCGCGAACGCAAACTGAAGGCAGGCGAATCCCATCACGACCAAACGACGGAAGCCGGCCCAGAGCGTAAAATTACACGTTTGGCCATCGGCGTCGATGGTGGCTACAATGAATCGGATCTTGCCAAAAAGTATGAGATTAAGGATACGTACAGCATTGTTGTGGCACCGCATCTGGACAAGAAGCTACCCTATCCGGATGCAGAGCTACCCATGCGTGTCACACAGGCCGTGGAGGCGGTGCTTGAGGCGGACTCAGCCATTGCCAAGCTGGAGAAGGCAACGCTAATGGGTAACTTTTATATATAAATACGTATTATGTGCCATAAATAACTTCCACTTAATCCTCTCCAGGCACCTGGGATGGCGAGGTGCGTCAGGCGTCCAAACATGCGGAGAATCTGCAGCAGCTGGACAACGGCAAGAAAATACCGCCAGCTGGCTGGCAATGCGAAAAATGTGAGCTGACCAACAATCTGTGGCTGAACCTCACAGATGGCTCCATTATGTGTGGACGCAAATTCTTCGATGGCAGCGGTGGCAATGATCATGCCGTGGAGCATTATCGCCAGACGGGCTATCCACTGGCAGTCAAACTGGGCACAATTAGTGCTGATGGTAAATCGGATGTGTTCTCTTATCCCGAGGATGATATGGTGCTGGATCCACATTTGGGCAAGCATTTAAAGCATTTTGGCATCAATATGGCGGCGATGCAAAAGTGTGAGAAGTCCATGGTTGAGCTGGAGCTGGAAATTAATCAGCGCATTGGGGAGTGGTCCGCTCTGACGGAGAGCGAGAGTGAACTGCAACCGTTGGCCGGGCCCGGGCTGACGGGCATGCGCAATCTGGGCAACTCGTGCTACATCAACAGTGTGATGCAGGTGCTCTTTGCCATACCCGATTTCCAGCAGCGTTTTGTGGGCAGTGGTGCCGAGCATTACTTCAAGGCATTTCCCAGCGACCCCGCCAACGATTTCAACATACAAATGGCCAAGTTGGGCAATGGCCTGCAGTCCGGTAAATATAGCAGCGTCAGTGAGAACTCGCTGGACATGGAGCACATGACGGGCATATCACCGGTCATGTTCAAGAATATTGTCGGAAAGAATCATCCGGAATTTAGCACGAAACAGCAGCAAGATGCGAATGAATTCTATTTGCATTTGTTGTCGCTGCTCGATCGCAATTCACGCAATCAATTCAATCCCGCCGATGCGCTCAAGTTTCAGCTGGAGGATCGTGTCGAGTGCATGACCAGTCACAAGGTGAACTACAGGCTGCGCGAGGAGTACACCTTCGAGCTGCCCATACCCCTCGAGCAGGCCACAAATCTGGACGAGGTGCGTGAATATCAGGAGCGGGAGCAGGCAGCTCGGGCGAGCGGCCAGCGTCTCCTGGATCGGGATATTGTGCGGCATAAGGTGCCCCTGCAAGCGTGCCTCGAACGTTTCTTTGGCACCGAGATCATCGACCAGTTCTTCTCCACGGCCATCAATGCCAAGACGACGGCCAAGAAGAACACGCTGATGGCCACCATGCCCGATTTCTTGATGATCCATTTGGGTAAATTTACGCTGGGCGATGATTGGGTGCCCAAGAAACTGGACGTTTCAGTGGATATGCCAGATGATCTGGATCTGAGTGTTTGGCATGCTCGAGGTGGCCTGCAGGCTGGAGAGGAATTGCTCCCGGAACCGACTGCAGAGCCGCCAAAATTTGTATTTGATGAGCATGTGATGTCGGAGCTGGTCAACATGGGTTTTCCGCCGGATGCGTGCAAACGTGCCTGTTTCCACACGCAAAATAGCAGCTTGGAGGCTGCTTCGAATTGGCTCATGGAGCACATTGCCGATCCGGATATCTCCGATCCGTTCGAGGTGCCGGCAAACAATCGCATTGGCGATGGCGCCGCCGCAAAATTTGTGGCCAATCCCGAAAGTCTGGCCATGCTGATGAGCATGGGCTTCGATGAGATGCAAGCGGTGGCCGCACTCAAAGCCACCGATGGCAACGTGGAACGTGCCACAGATTGGATCTTCTCGCATGCCGATTGCATCGATGAGGTGCCTCCAGTTTCAGCGCCAACTCCAGCTTCAGCTCCAACAACTGCCACGGCGACGAGCAATTATCGCGATGGCAATGGTAAATATAAATTGATGGCGTTCATCTCGCATATGGGCACCTCTGCCCAGGTGGGGCACTATGTGTGCCACATACGCAAACAGGGCGAATGGGTGATCTTCAATGACACCAAGGTGGCCAAGTCACAGAATCCGCCCAAGGATCTGGGCTATCTGTATTTATATATGCGCGAAGACTAACTGATTGATGATCTCCTCTCTCCTCCTCCCTTAACTAACCAACCAAGCAAACATCAAATTTTTAAGATTTGTGAAATTTATATATATATAATAAACTGCTGTATGTGAAAAATAAAGAAAAACAACCGATTCTAGTTGGCTGTAACCGAATTCAAACCTGCATATTTTTATATCCCGATCTCAATTGTCACCATGAATCCCCAACAACCCAAAGATGAATTCAATTTTATTTCGGTTTATTTAATTTTATTGTTGTTTCTTTGGCAACAGTTCCTGGACAACCTGACTGAGTCGATCGGCGAATGCCTCAAAGGAGAACTTTTGCTGCACTCGTTTTTTGCCCAGATCGCCCATCTTGAGACGCAGTGCCTCGTCGCGGAACAGTTGATACATGGCACCACCGAAGCTCTTCTCATTCGGATCACAGAGGAAGCCCGTCGATGTGTGCACCACAGTCTCAGTGGGTCCACCACTGTTCAGAGCCACCACTGGCTTAGAGAAATACATGCCCTCCAGCGGCACAATGCCAAAGTGTTCGTTCTCCGGCGTATAAAGCAGACAATGTGCTTCAAACAGTAGATGGCATTTCTCCTCGTCCGTCGGCGAACGCAGGAGCACCACATGATCCTGCAGCTGTAGCTCCTCCACCAGCTGTTCCAGCTCGGAAAAGTGCTCCACATTCTCCACACAACGTGAATCATAGCCACCGGCGATGATCAGACGACAACGCTTGAAATCCAATGCTGGCAACATGTTGCCCAGCAACCTGAGCGAGTGCAGCGCCAACGAATGATTCTTCTTGCGCTCATAGCGATTGATGTCCAGATAGACAAAGGAATTGCGTGGCACACGTGGATGAACCGGCTCCTCCAACAGCGTCGAACGCTGCTCCAATTTGTGCTCCATTTTGTCAAAATATTGCGTGTGCAGCGAAGGATAAAGCACATCTGGCACGGTGCTCAGCCGTCGGAATGTGTCTTGGAAGACGCGTAACGTAAACTTGGAATTAACGAGCACCTTATCGGCCTGACCAATTGTGTGCTCCTCCAGCCAATTGAGGGGTGCGCGATACAAACGCTTGAGAAGACCGCCATTTCGAGCACTCAGCAATTGATCGGGAAAGTGACAATAGAAGAGAATACGTGGACGATGGCGAGCCAGTCGCAGCACGGGCACACACACCGAGATCAGATCACAGAAGACAACATCGACCTGCTCACGTTGGGGCATCAAGAAACTCGCATAGAAAGCGGCATACAACATTCGCACATAGGCACAGAACGCATAGAAGCGTCCAAAGAGGCGTCGTGGCAACCAATCCCCAACAACCTGCACAGGGAAACTGCCATCTGCTGTCTCCTTGAAGCAGTGGGAAATATCGTGATGATTAGTCAGGAAACTGACGTCATGGCCACGTTCCTTCAGCGCCAAAGCGGCGTCGACAACCAAACGCTCAGCGCCTCCAATCCCCAAATCGGGATGCAGAAATAAAATGCGCACCATTTTGTGCTCCTCGAACTAAGAAAACTGTAATGAATTAAACTTAAATTGCATCAATTCAATAATAAAATATAAATAATTATAATTTACTCACCAAAATGTCATGCGAATTGCATTATATGCAGCTAAACGTTAAACAATTGCTTATTATTTTTGATTTGTCCAAGCACACTTATCGATATATCGATCACGATCGTTTTATTAGTATTGAGCACTTTGAACAAATTAAACTGCAATGAATTAATCGCGAATCAAATCAAAGCCGATATATCGATAATCCTTTTTGTATGCCTCGATCTAATAAAACTCCAATAAATTAAACTGAAGGCAAATTAGAGCAATAATAAATAATAATCCAACTAGCTAAAAATGAAACAATTACTTATTAAGTTTTATTACCACAAGCCAATATATCGATAGCAAACGTATTTCAATAGTTCTTATTGTGTCTGACAGCCCTAGAATCCAATTAAAAACGCAACGCATTTGGTATTTTTTAGCGCCAACTGTGGCGCTGTGTTTCTGCATTTCGGCCCGTGTTTGCAACGAAAGCATTAAATTTTCCGTCAAATATATCCCCGACAATTAAATCGGCCTAAAGTTTTTAATTAACAAACAACATCAACAAGAACAACATTGAAGCGTCGTCGTCAAGGCGCTGTCAACAGAGTGTGTATCGCTGTGTGTGTTGTGCTGTGTGTGTTTGTTTGTGTGTGTGCCGTAAAATATCCTCCAGAGGAATGCAGCCGCCAATTAAACTTAAAATTAAAATTAAAAGCAAAGCCATCAACGACATCGAGCACAACTCGTTGTGGCTTAATAAATAAATAAACAATTAAAGAAAAATAAATCGACAAGTGTGTAAAGTGTGCAAATTGTTGCTGCGACGCTCAATAAAAAAGAAAAGAAAAACAAAAAACATACATCCCCCCCTACTCCCCGCCGACGCGGCTGTCTGACTGTCTGGCTGACTTAATTAAATATTAATATATACATATATAACACACACGAAAAACAATTGACGTTACTCCGGCCGATATTTGGGCCACGTACTCCCATCCAAGATGCCCAAAATATATGTGAAAAAACCCTTGGCGAATCTTGTCATACGCAATCGAGCCCACAAAAGCAGCATATTTACCGTAAGTACTAAGCTACATAAACACACATACATACATGATAACATAGCTATACATATATGTATGTATGTATTATGTTAAATAGCTTGAATTCCCCAAATCAAGTAGACATGTGCCTGACTGATAGCAACAGCAACGAACAGTAAACTATCGTTAAAAACTACACTTGAAGAGTCTACTTGTTGTTATCTTGGACTATAGTACAATTGGTCATAAATAAGTGTGACACATATATTTGAAGTAAATCTATTATTATTATATTATCCAGCTATAATATATAAGTGTGACTCATATAAATTATAATATATGTTATTTTTATAACCACACAAAATCTATATCCAATTGCTGTTGCTAAATGTCATCAAATGTGAAATTTCGAATTTTTCAGCAAATTAGTAGCGCCTATTTTAGACAGACTATAGAAATTGTTAAGAATAGGAGGATGATATATGCGATGAGAGACTGTGGATCTTATGTTAAATATGCTATTTATTGAAATATTATGCGAAATGTGAAATTGATCTTATATATATAATTTTTATTATTATTATTATAGTTATAAAGTTAAGTTACAGTCAAAGTTTACAACCTGTACAATTTTAACTGACTGATAATAATAAGTGATAAGTTAGAAAAAAAAGAGCTCATATCGACTGAATACTGTACATGCATTGTTATCACTATCGCTGGCGCTCGCTCATTTTAAATTGCGTGCGTTTTTCGTGAATCATCATTCAAAGTGCTTTACTCGTCGGCTAATATTAAATTATAATAAGTTATGAGTTGACTTTAGAGCCTCAATCAAAGCGTCATTTAGTCATTTTCAATAAGTGTGATTGCGGCCAATAAATGGCACATTTATGAACCTTGTTGCTTGAATACGCACACATATATACATATGTTTTCGGTTTTCGTGTCAGGCGATTTTCTTATCATCAGCAGTCAGGCGATATTATCTGAGAAAAGCTTGTTGCGTCTTAACCAAGGGCAAGAGAGAGAATAAATAAATAAAAATAAATAGAAAAAATAAAATAATGAAAATTAATAAGTAAAAATGAATAACATAAATTAATACAATAAATAAAAGAAAAACGTATAAGGCGCATAATAAAAGACATTTAGAAATATATATTTGGGTGTTTCTAGAGAAGGTAACTCTAATTACAGATTTGAGAACCATAAAAAATGTTTAAGCAGCATAATAAAGAAGTAACATTTAATACAATAAACATTCTAATTCTAACGAGCGTAATTCTAATTAAGGATTTGCCAAACATTTCATTATTAAGAAGTGTTTGCTTGGTTTAAGTCATTATTAGTCATTAACATGTCTCGCTGACATCAGCAAAAGTTGCGTGTCTTTAATTTGTATGGGGCACTGTGAATAATGAGTTTATGGGAAAACTTGTGCTCCCCAAACGAGCAGCATTAAAAGTGAACACATACGAGAGAGAGAGAGGGAGAGACAGATCTCGATGTGTGTCAAATTTCATAATCAATTCCAGTGTTGACCTCTCGCAACAACCACTTGTTCCACTGAGGGGAGAACAACACTGTCCCCAAAGACTCGTTCTCTCGTTCCGTTTTCGGTTCTCATTTAGCTGTTTTTTTTTTTGGCTTTCGCTTTCGACGAAAAGCTGTTTTGTGAGTTTCTGTTTGTGTTCTGTTCTTTTGTGTTTTTTTGTTGTTTATGTTTGGTTTTATTGTTTTTTTTTCTTCACGATTATTATAGTCCATATTCAAAACACGATAGAGTATTAAGTGTATTTATTTGGTAGTGCATTGAACTTTTTGCTTGCCTACTTGTCACAAGTGCGACTAATGAGACAGAGACACAGAGAGAGAGAGAGAGAGAGAGAGAGCTGCTTAAACAGCGTGCGCGTGTAAATATTACATTAATCACAATCTAAACCCATTTCCCACTTGCAATTTCCCCCTTCTACAGAGGGCTCGTCGTGTGGCGTATAATTATAGCGAACAGCAGCAAATGTGTCACACAGCACTCGCCGGCAACTTCTCTTTAACTTGCCACATTTCCCTTGCTTTCCATTCTTTACACTCAGAACAAAATATCGCCATACTTTTGGCGCCAATGGTCAGTCAGAAAGTAAATTTCTATAATATATGGTTGTGGGTATAATCTTGTGTTTGCATTTCTAAGTTTCATTTATAAAATTGAATACAATTTATGTATAATTTTTATTATAAAAGCAATTTTTTATTTCTAACAAAAAATAAAAACCTTTCAGGACGATGTTTTTCCCTGTGTACCCATACATATTTAATGCGTCGACATCTTGAGTAACATACATAGTATGACTTCCAAGATAATTAGTAGCTTACCTTAAAGGTAGGCCTGGGCAGCCAGCTTGTCGCCACACAAGTCGCAGCACTGTGCAACAAAACAGCTGAAACAATACAATATTTTCAAAGTAAAAACAAAAATCTGCTGTTTAATCAACTCCCATTAATTAACAATTTGTTTACTTTGCAGCACAGTGTAATAAGTCAGATTAAGCATACGCCCTATAGACCAATAATAGTTTTTGCTCACAACCGATTAAGTTGATGACTCTTTTCTTTTTCTTTTGTATACACAAATTTCGACCAGCCTTGAACTTAATTATTGAGATTTGTGATTTATGGTGCAGCTTTCGACGGATATTATTGTTCAACAGGAAATACCATGAAAAATTAATCGGAATTGGAATCAATTAAGTTTTGTTATCTTAGGCTAAACCTGAACACCACACCCAACATTAAATTCACATAGCTGAATATGATGTGTGTATAAAAATCAGTTAATTATTTAAAAAGCTTATCTTTTTAATTTTAACTTAATTAAAAACTTTTGCAAGGGCATTTGCGATTCCATTATGCCAAGACTCGTTGAAAATCAACCGAAAATATTTCCTTTTTTGGTGCTTTTTTCGTTGCGCAAAGCTTTCATTCATAAAACGCGACTCGAACGCGCAGAAGCTGTAAGGAAAGCGAAATGAAAGCTCTTCAAGCTTTTGCTCTCATCTCTCTCTCTCTTGTGGTCGGGTGCGCGTGCACGAAATGTGCACCCACAGAAAAGGCAACATGCAACAGAACAAACAACCACAACAACAGTAACAACAACAACATAAATCAGAAATGTGCAAACAAACTGTAAACACGAAATGGGAAATTATTATGGGAAATTTGTTACAGCAGACGCGAAAGCAGGTTTATGGAGCAAATTTTTGCGACGAGAGACGAAAGTGAAATAAGAACAAAGCTGAGCTTTAATGTGTGTGGGTTTTGTTTATATGTCACAGTGTGTGTGTGGGTGTTGGTGTGTGTGTGTGTTTGTGTGTGTGGGGACAGTGAAAGTCAAATGGAGAAGTTAATCTATTTTTATGGATATTTATTTTTGTTGCCTTCCAGTTTTTCATTCTGTATGCATGTTTACAAATTACGAGCAATAATTATGTCTATTTTCCACTTAGTCGAAATAATTACCACAAAAAAAAGCTTTTCAAAAGCTCTTCGGTGACATGCGAAAATTGCATGCAAGAGTGTGAAGCAGCAGAAGAGGCAGAGTCATATTTGAAATGTACATTTTATTTGCCCAGACGAGGCGAAACTGAGCGAGACGCTTTTCTCCAGCTGTGAGTACGAAGCAGCATGTGGAGAAGCGCACAACACGACGCTCGCTCGAAACGCTGCCACACATTTTTGTTATCATCGCCGTCGTCTTCGTCGTTGTCGCCGCCAACGCCACAAATATACAAAAATATAGCAAAGGATTATTGTTCAAATTTTTGTTGATTTTTATTTTACGTTTTGTTTTGTTTAAGTTTCAAATGTTGCCTCGGTTCGTGCGTGAAATTTCAACGAATTCAACGATAACAACAGTATAAAAGTGCTTATATTAAAAAAAAGAAAATATATATATTATGAGTGTGTGTGTGTGTCTGTTGTGTACCTGCAGATTTGCTGTAAGTGCTACATGTGGCAATTGGGAAGACTTCGCCTTAAATGCAGCTTGCTTTCAGTTTGCCACATAACGCAAAAAAAGAAGAAAAATTAAATAAAACATTGTAACTGTACTTAACGAGTGGGAAATGCTTCAATTTGTTGTTGTTGTTGTTGTGGATTTTCTAGATGTGGCAGCTGCTGCCGCTGCTTATATTTGACTCTTTGCTGTCTGCTGCTGTTTATGCTTTCAACGCTGGTTTCCTCGTGTCTGCCACTTTGGACGACGACCGAACGTCGCCAGATACCCACATATATATATAAATATATACATATACACACACACATTTAAGGACACGCACTGAACAGCAGAGCTTCGTTCGTGCTGTTTTCCTTGAAGAAGGTCACCCAAACACACAAGGCGCTTAGCACTTGCCACTTACCACACGACTCGCTGCCTCTCTGCCACTCTGTCAATGCCTGCGTCTGCTGCACGCGTCCTTTTTTTTACTTTCTTTCTACTCACACTTTCTACACTTTCACTGCCTTGACCAGCATTTGGGTTTTGTTCTATCCAAATGTTTTTTGCATAATTTTCGCATTTCGATCGCTTTTCGAGCTTTGTTCATTAAAAGTCCCTTGTTATTGTATATTTACTCTGTGTATATATGTATGTATATAAAGTGTATATATACATATATAGTATACATATTGTGTATCCATCTGTGTCACGTTGCCTGTTCTGCTCTGCCTTTGTATTCCATTGTTGATGATTTTGTGTTTAGGTTTTACTTTTCTCATTTCTTCTTTTATGACCAAATCGAAATGGCTCATAAAATGCGCCTCCCCCTTCAATTACAGCCGCCCAGCCCACACTTCCCATTCATCGTTCAATTCACTCGCTTAAGGAACCAAAGAGCATTTCCATATAGTAATTTTAATTTAAAATTATTAATTATTTTTATTTTGGAATCCTTTGGCTCCTCGTGTCGTATACGCAATTTATGAACATCTAAAATTCTTTCTATTTTTCTTGTTTTTCTTTTGTGTGTAATAAATATCTGTCATTTTCTATCAGCAGTCACAAAACAATTCCCATTAGACAGACGACTGCATATATTACACATTTCTTAGGTCTTTTTTACGACTTCTCAGGGGGAAAAGTCGCGTGTGCCACGGCGGAAGAGTTCAATAAACTTTTGGCGCAATGAAAAAGAGGAGATGAGAAAAAAGAAGAAGGCTTCATTCTTCTCAATGGAAATGAAACGATTCATTAGCATATATATACCATACATATACTCTCAAGCAGTTAGTTAAAGAGACAAAACAAACTTTTGCTGGAAGACATTTTTACGTTGAGCTCTGTTTGTGGCAGCCATTTTTTGAGATTGACATGCCCCCATTTTAGTTATATGTGGGAAGGACACAACGCTGTTCAGGCCAATCAATTATGTGGAAGGAGCAGCAGGAGCAGGAGCTGGGAGAAGTCTTATGAAATTTCGTTAGATAACCACAAACTGGCATCCATAAATTGTGGCACATTGGACGCTATTGTTCGTGGGCTGCTGCTGCTGCTGCTGGCTCTGTCTGTCAGTTCATAAACAGCAGCAGCTTCTGTGGCTAATGCGGCGTATGCGCAATGCCGCATTCTCTTCCGCTCCCCCACAAACTGCTGCTGCTCCTAAAAGCTATTGTCTTTTGTTCTGTTGCTTGTGTGCCCTGAACTGCAAGCTATAATTATATATGAAAGAACAGTTCTATAGCTTTTTTAATGAGTTTTTAAGTCTTTAGATTCGTTAATTTTAATAGAAAGTTCAATAATAATTACAACTAAATTTCTTACTAAAATTAAATTGGGTTTCACTTTTAATTGTTCTTCAAAAGAACCTTACAAGATTAAATATGGGACTTGAATAATTTAAGAAAGGGTCTCTTTGTCTATATATCTTAGACTTCACACAATGAATGATTCAGTTTCTCCTACGATATATATTTTCTACACCTTTATGGCTTTTTAAAATTAGTTTTGAAGTCTATATACATATTAAAATTCCCAAATACTTATACAACAAATGATTGCATAAGAATTGAAGATCTTCTAAGCTAGTCTTAGCTACACATCAATCAAAAAGCAAGCAAAATTTGTTAGAATAGCTTAAATTCTTTAGTTCCAATTCACTTCAACAATAATGTGAAAACCCACTCATGTCCTGCCTCCTGGTGAGTCATATTTGCCTGCAAGCTTTGTACTTGGCTAAAATGTGTCCTCTTTTTTTGTAGCCGGCACACCCTGCAACGGCATTTAGCGCTTGCGACTGCATTAGGAATTGGAATTCCCTTAGTTTTTAGTACCCGGCCTCAGTTCTCAGTTCTGGCTACAATATGATAATCGTTTGTTGTGCATTTCGGTTTATTTTATGTTTATTTGGCAGCCCTGCCAAAATTCATATATGCAAATTAACTGCCAGCCAACCTATCTGCCTACACCTCTCTGTCTGTCTGCCTATCTACACGTATCTGTCTGCAGCGGAACTTCATTCTTTTTTTTATTATTATTATTGTCAACACTTTTTTTTATTTTGGAACCGAAGCGAACCGAAATGAACTGAACTGAAATGTCGTGTTTGGGGCTGGGGCGTTTGGCATGCAAGGTCAGTTCGTGATTTAGCTGCATCATCATTGTTAATCAATAAAACAGCAACAAGCCAAACAACAAATACTGGTAAAACAAAAACAGAAATACTTCAGTTTGAAATGGCGAAGTTTTAATACCCTTGCCCTACATCCTCTGAACTTGCCAGTTACACACAAAACAGCACAAGCCGATTTCAGAGACTTGAGGAGACTAGGGCTAGAGGAATAAAAGAAGCTTTGGAATTTAAGTTGTATGTTATTATATTAATCGATTTCCAATAGCAATAAAAGACATAATTGCCAAGATATAGCCTATCAACAGTAAGAATTTCATTAAAATGCATGTCTACAAGGGCATCCATAAAAAAGTTCATTGTTAAAGCAAAACTCAAATGCGATTATATATATAGTGCAAGTAGTAGATGCTATGCAGATGATAAGCTCTCACTCTGATCATTCTTAGATCATTCTGATATTGCTACAATTACTTTCATTCATTTCAGTGTCCTGCAAATGCTCTGTAAAACGAAGGAGCGTAGTATATTTATTATATTTATGTTTATTCATTTAAGCATTTCAGCTGCAGTTGACAAATTTATAGTACCCCAACGAGAGTGCAACGAGAATTTTATTTAAAATGTAAGCTATTGCCTTGCACTTGGCCACCATAATGTATTTAGTTCATGTGCCATTTGGCATTTGTCATGCCCCACATGATGATGATGGGCATGGGGAGGGGGATTGGCATGGTGATGGGGATGGTGTTGAGGATGCCTCGTAGGCCGACATCAGATGGTCACAGTGTCAGTTCTGTGTCTTCTTGGCTGATGACGATGACATCCCGTTGTCGTTCCAACTGGGGGCTTGCTGTCATGATTTGATTTGATGTGGCTGCCAACAGAGACAAAGACGGACCCAGAGAGAGAGAGAGAGAGAGAGAGAGAGGGACAGAGATAGAGAAAGAGAGAAAGGAAAAGGCAAATGCAATTGCCATTATCTAAGTGACCCAGTAAAATCAATAAAATGCACATTCATCATGGAAAAATGGAAAATGTGTGACCTCTTGGGTTCGCTTTACCAGCTTTTATTTCTTTTTTCGGCCCGAGTCAAACAGCAATTTTGGTAGCTACTAGCTGCCATTGGCATCGCAGTTTGACACTTTGCCGCTGGCCATGTTGTCGACCAAAAACTATTTTTAATACTGAAAGGCGGCACAACGAAGCTGTGACAGCCACGCGTGCCACTAAAAGTTGTGTGTGTGTTTGTAAGTGTTTCTGTGTGTAACAGTAGCGAAATTCTTGCCAAAAAATTTGACAAGAGGCTAAATTTGATTTATACTTTATGGAAACTGACATAAATTATTAATTATTGTTGATTGGAATATATTCAATATTGAGATATTCTCAAAACACTCAAAATAAAACATGTCAATCATTTTAAGTACTATTTTGTGGCTCCAGATATCTTCAGAGATCTATTTACAGTAGGAGTATAATCTTCCATTGTAAAATTAATTTGCACTTAAATCCAAAATTGAATATCATAGAAAAATATAAACATCCTTAAAATGCAAGCCAACCAAGAATGGAATAATTCTAAATGGTTCTCAGATCAATGTTCTGAAGAAACCCATATCGTTAGCAGTCTATGCTCAATTCTTATATTGTTGGTCTTATTATTATAATATAGTCTGTAAATTATTCAAAACACTCAACAAAAACAGTGTAAACAATTTTGTATACACTTTTGAATTCGCTCCTGTCGCATTACGTATACGTCGCATCTGCCATTGGCTCTGTCGTCATGGCTTTGAATTGAATTTGAGGAGAAAAGCAATAATAATAATAGTAAAAAAGGCAACAGCAAAAGCAAAGAGCAAAAAAGCAACGGCTGCTGCACTCATCTAACCTTGAGTTTGTCGGCCAATTGTGCGAGAAATGGGTTTGTGATCCATTTAACCCTTGAGTAAGGAAGCATATTGAAAGTATTTATATCCGTAATTGTTTTTACTAAGAGCCATCAAGATCTATGTAAATATATACAACCTAAATGGCTGTTGCTTTCTATATTTGTATTTTTGTTGCTGCTCTTCAAAAATTGTTCTTTACATTTATATAAGCCTAATGATTGACAAAAAACCACTAAGTAATTTGAAAGCTTTTAATACACTCATTTTTAATTAAAAACCTGTGACATTTCGGGCAGTCCTCGGCTTAGGCCACAGACAGCTCTGACAGCTGCCAAATGCCTTTGGTAAATTTACTTTGTGTCTGAGTGTGCAAATCCTTTTGAAATGCTAGCTTGCCACTTGGTGTGCTTCTTTTTTTTTTGGGCACCCTGCGCCAACTTTGGTTACTGTATTTTGTCACATTTTCAGCTGCATACTTTTAGGAACGGCTGCTTCCATTTCACTAACTCACTTGAAATACAATTACTAGCATGTCGTAGGTAATTCGGTGACCAAAACACACTCTTCTGCATATCAATTATTTAGCAGACCGCAGAACAGAACAGAAGCCTAAATTTGACCTTGCCACGACAGGCAAAACTCTTGCTTGCCATTTCATTGGGTTTGCGTGTGCCGGACATATGCAAAAATTAACGCAAGTTTTGATTAGCCGACTTTCAGTTACCCTCTCGGTGGCAGAGAATATAAAAAACATATATTGCGATTTTAAGCATACTTTTCTAAAGAGATTAAAAGCTGTCAGTTAACTGAGAGATGAGAAAAGACAATCAAAGTTGCACCAGGTCTAAAACAGGTAAATTGACAGCTCTAATCTAAGGTCGAAAGCAGTAAATATAGAATATATTTATATATATTAGACGGCTATAATCAAAACGATTTAGGAAAGTAATATGAGTGAGGTAGAACAGACTTAGAATAATCATCGCTCGCTTGACAGAATTCTGTGGACCAAGAAGTCAACTAGCTAAACTAGTTGCTACAATCAGTAGCAGGAGGATATAAACCCTCAAACCGACAAAAATTCTTGAATTTGTGTAAGAATCAAGAATGGACGAGTTCTCAATCAAGCTCAGAAGGGCTCAGAAGGGTACACCATACATGAAACTAGCTCGCAGTGTATAAAGTTCCACACAAATAATAATAAACATCCTGCGATATTCTTTAACAAAGCAAATAGTAATGGAAAACATTCATTTGTATACATTAACAAAGTTTATTCTGTCTTGCCTGTTTTGCTGCCCACTCCGTTTACAGGGTATGAGAGAATGACGATGGCGACACACGTGTAACGGACTTGGGCAGCAGATTAATTAAGTATAAATGTGCTGTAAAATAGATGACATTACGTACGTACGTCCGGATATACTATACGGCCGCGCTATTAGCTCATACGGCTGCCACAATAGAACAAATTAGATAGGAAATCCAATAAGTGCTAATAATATACATACAAGTGCTAATACAAATATACAGTCTTCACTCGGAAATTGAAATATCCAAACGAAAGGTGAACATTTTTGTTTTCATGTTGAGCAGCTTGAAAGCACTTGAATATTTAAATCATAGATCATATAGCAATCAATAGCTCACTGTTTTTATGTTAAATTAGGGCTTATAGAAATGAAAGTTATTTCTGTCGTCTGTCTTTAGGTCTCTCCATATTTGTTATGATTCCAATATTGTAGTAAAACTAATTTATAATATTGTTCAATGTAGCGCGACAGCTGCAACAGTTTTTAATTTTCGACAACAATTAAACACAAATATAGATTTGATCTTAATTTTTTGTATTGTTGCGGTTAATTAGCTGTGTATTATTACATGTTGATACCAAGTCAATATCAGAGACTATAAAAGCTACTTACAATTTGGTGTATAAGTTCTCGCATCCCACAATCAGATCAAGCTTATTTTATTTGGTCGATAACTGCTCACATTTCGCGAATATCTATAGAAATCGGTTTACGATAGCAATAAAAGACACTAATGTAAAGATATTGTCTTCCTGTTGATATACAATCAACAATGGCACATTAATCATCAACTGTACAAATATTATTGACAGATTTCGCTAACCAAAAGTGCATTGCATTACTCATTACATCACAGGGTATTTTCTAGACGAGCTCTCTCGACCCGAGCTTTCATTAGAAACATATCATTCCGGGAGCTCAGATAACGAGCATAAAAATAGATATCTCAGACAGTTCTCTTATCTCAATTGTTGCACTCGTGTCACGTAATTCTTTTTCATTTTTTTTGTTAGTTTAACCCGGTTTTGCATTGAAAACTGACTGACTGAGTGACTGACAGACAGTTGGCCAGTTTTCATTGGTTTACTGTGTTTGCACTTGACCCCATTGTTGCAATAGGATGATCGCAGCTTGGTTCTCTTCTACACGATCTCAATGGGGTTGCTATGATTATATGCGCAAAATGATTCATTTTTTAATGATTTTTTGAGTCAGTTGATTTTTGTATGGCTTATGTTTTGCAGAATTCACGATTTTTATATTATTTAACTGTGCTTCTCGTTGTTTTTTTTTTTTTTTTCATCTAAATCAACATTCATTTGTCAACACTTTTATGAGCCGGCTCGTTAACTATTTGGTCTAGCTGCTGTTATAGCCGGGGTTCTAATGTTAGTTTTGATGATTTTCGCTCTCTTTAAATTCATCATCATCAACACAGTTCGCAGAGGGGATTTTTCATTTTGCAGTGCTCAGCATAAGCCTAATGCTATTTTTATATATCAAATTACATCGCCCACCTCTCTCTACAATACTTTTGTTGTTGTCTATTCTGCATGCAAAGCCCGTTGCGCATTCTCTCTCTTCTGCTCTCCCTCTCTTCTGCTCTCCCTCTCTTCTGCTCTCCCTCTCTCCTTAGCTTTGATTTGCAAACTTTGAAAGCTCTCTTTGCTTCCGCTCAGTTGTCGGCGCGTATTTGAAGCAAGCAGACGTTGCCGGAAGTTTGCTTCGGTGTTCTCGGCCCAAAATATATATATGTATATATATTTACTCATATTGTAGTCTAATAAATAATGATTACAAAAGTTTAGCATTCAGAGTTGTATGAAATTTAACACAATTGTCAAAATTTGAAGTACATCTTTGTGTAGCACGGTCAAAATTTTCGTTATTGATATTGTTTCGCAATATTCTACTTCGCTGGAAATCGTTCATCAATTCGGGTTGTTCCAAAAGTGTGCGGAAGACTACTCTCGATAATTATTCTCGTTCAATTCCTTAAAAAATAAATAAATAATAATAATAGTACGTGTGAATGCTTGCTCGATAAGCAGACTTGGCTTAATAGGCAAAGCTCTCTCGATTCCATTTGATTTTGATTGTGATTCCATTGCCTGGCTTACGCTTTGCTCTGTGTTGAGCTTTATACAATATATGTATAAATTTATTGCAAATAGAGTACTAATTTTAGATGCAGTGCGTCTTCAATGCTCAATTAACATGCTAGTGCTAAAACTACACCAGCAACAACAACAAAAACTAACAACAAATAACGCATTGGGCAAATTGGCTTTTAACGACTCGTAAACTCAATATTAACATTAAATTACTTAATTTTATTGCATACTTGACGGCGTCATTAGCAAAAATGTATTAACTATAAATAACTTGTTAAAAAAAACGCGTAAAGATATTTTGAATAATGTTTCTAAAGCTTAAAATTTTATTGCGAAATTAATAAACCAACAGAATTCTTGTTTTTAAGCTCTACATTATTTCTATTAAAAATATAAAATTTTAAAACAAAGTTTAGTGTTAATGAGAAATGAATAGGCAAACAACTATAAAAAGCCATATATTAAATATCGTTTTCATACATTTTTGTGTCTTGTGGCCATATTGTTGAGGTTAATGGGTAGTAAAAACTTTGTTTAGCTCCAATGAAAAACTTGGTTACAAGTCGTAAAAATAGGTAGTTAAAACTGTAGTGACACTGTAGTTTTTGTGGTCTATAAGCGAAATTCCCAAACTCTTTTTTATTATTTTGGGGAGGAGGTCGTCAAGTACTGCAATTAAAAAATGGTTAGCTGAAAGCAAATCGAGCGATCGAAAAAAAAATAACAAAACGCAAGTAAAGAGCGAGCAGAAATTCTAAACTGTAATTACAGCCAAAAAAGTGCCTGAAAACTGTACTGAACTTCAGGCGAACCGAACCGAACCGAGGAGGAGCAGCGATGATCAATGAGAATCAGTGAGAAGAAGCAGAAGAAGCGATCAGCAGAGATAGATGATAAGCAACGGAGAAAGGAGTATAAAAGAATTTCGTTGACAACAAAACGAGTGCAATTAAAGTGAGAAGAAACTGAATGTTGAAACCGAAAACGGGAAACGGGAAACTGGATAAAAGAGTTTGATCTGTGATCCTATGTGTGTGCTAAGTTCCTCTAGAGATTAACGCCCAGAGATTAAACTCAACTGGCAATGGAAATAAGTGCGTTAGACGAACCAAAGCAACAACTCTTAGCCCACAAAGACGAAGAGCAGCAGCAACGATAATAGCAGGAGAAGGAGAGGGAAAGATAGAGAGAGAGAGAGAGCATTAGTCAGAGATATCGAATTTTCGATTTTGTTGGAGAGGAAGGATGCGTAAGGAGCTGAATCATGCCCAGCGGCAGCAGCAGCAGCTCACGGAAACAGCAGCAGCAACAGCAACAACGGACAGCAGCAGCAGTAGCAGTAACAGCAGCAACAGCTATCAGCTGGATGAGCAGGTGCCACAACAACAGCGGCGACGGGATATCAAGGATGAGTCGGATGTGGGTGAGCAGACGGATACGCAAAGCACGCACAGCAGCAGCTCAACGCCAACAACAGCAGATGTTGCCGATGTGGCAGATGCGGATACCATCAGCGGATCACCGTTGAAGTGTCAACTGAAACCGGATGCAATCATTGCAGCAGCAAGCAGCAGTCAGCTAGATGCGGATAATGTGCCGACGGTAAGCGAGAGTGGAGCAGTTGCAGCTGCAGCTAATACAACATCTAATCTCCTGCAGTCATCGCGTTATGCGGCACGTCCAAGCGCCGCCTTGTCACAGGCAACAGCAGCGACAGCAAGTGGTGGTCAGGGCGTTGCCGGCGGGTGCAGCAGCAGCAGCCGATCAGCAGCCGGTGGCACCCATAGACGCACCCTCTCATCCGCCTCGTACATCTCGATGCGTTCACAAGCGACTCCAAATGGTGCTCCAGCGTCAGCAGAGCGACCCAAACGCAATCGCTGCTTCGAATGGATACGCGTCCTCTGTCGCATCTGCTGTTGCAAGGTTTGCCATTTGTTGCACACATTTAATTGATCGGCGCGCAATTAAATCAATTGCCTGCCTCACCCCAGTTCTGGTCTCCACATGTGTTTTCGAATTTTGTGTTGTTTTTTGAGTGATTTCATTTATTAGATTGCTAGATAGTTGAATTCGATAAATTCAGCCAGTCAATTAGTTATCATGACATGGTTTCAATTCAGGAATATACTTCTTTTTTTCTTTCCTACAAATAATTGATTATAGTTGACGAGTGGCTATGAATAAATTTAATGGGTTTATCGAAAATTTGAAAAAAAAGTACTTTCAAATAGAAGCTAATATAAATAAGACTTGCATTTTTATATATTTTAATGATAATCTAATAAGGTATTCCATATATATGTAAAATAATAAGTATCCAGAACTGGGTATTAGTTTTACTAAATTAGTCGTTTGCTATCCCAAAATATATATAAATAGATATATACATTAAGGACATACATTGCCTAAGCAAGAGTATTTCAAATATAATTAGTTTTAAGTTTATAGTAACTAAAGATCAATTTCTAAGGCTACTTAAAAAACAGCTCGAAACAAAAGTTTCAAGAAACAATAAATAGAAAAGTTCTTAGATTTATTAAAAAGAGGCGATGCTAATTGCTGCAAGTTCGAAACAATAAGTCTAATTTCTCATATATTGATGAATATTTTTCTTATTGACATATGTTATAATTATTTGACACCACTCAACAGAGTTCGGGAATTGGCGAGCCGAGTGTTCATCATGCGCTAGTTGTGATATTTTTAGAGTTCTTCGCCTGGGGTCTGCTCACGATGCCCATTATATCGGTAAGTAAATACCATATATAGATAGATATAATATAATGATATATGAACCTTTTTGCAGACACTAAATCGTACATTTCCGGATCACACGTTCCTGATGAACGGCCTGGTGATGGGCATCAAGGGCATACTGTCATTCCTGTCGGCGCCACTGATTGGCGCCCTCTCCGACATCTGGGGACGTAAATTCTTCCTATTAGTAACAGTATTCTTCACATGTATGCCCATACCGCTGATGTGCATAAATACATGGTGGTTCTTTGCCCTGATCTCAATTAGTGGCGCTTTTGCCGTCACCTTCTCGGTGGTGTTTGCGTACGTGGCCGATGTGACAACGCCGGAAGAGCGCTCCAAGGCATACGGCCTTGCCTCGGCCACATTTGCAGCGAGTCTGGTCATCTCACCGGCCCTGGGCAATGCCCTGATGGACATGTATGGTGACACACTGGTTGTGGCGTTGTCCACAGCGATTGCGTTGCTCGATGTATTCTTCATTCTAGTCGCTGTGCCGGAGAGCCTGTCGGAGAAGATGCGACCAGCGACGTGGGGTGCGCCCATCAGTTGGGAGCAGGCAGATCCCTTCCTGGTAGGTCATCCAGTGATCAGCACACTAATTATTTGTAATCATTAATTATATATTTGAATTTCAGGCACTGCGAAGAGTGGGCACGGACAAGACCGTCTTGATGCTGTGCCTCACCGTGCTGTTATCCTATCTGCCCGAGGCCGGCGAGTATTCCTGCATGTTTGTCTACCTCAAGCTCAAGATGGGCTTCAACTATGTTGAGGTCTCCATATTTATAGCCGTTGTGGGCATACTCAGCATCACTGTCCAAGTAACGCTGGGTTCATTTATGAAGTGAGCAACTTCCCTAAGCATTCTTGATCTATTTGTAATCCCCACTAATCTGTGTTCTTGCAGAGTCTTTGGCGCCAAGCGCACCATCATTATGGGCCTAGCCCTGGAGATGATTCAACTGCTTTGGTATGGCCTGGGCAGTGAAAAGTGGTAAGCACAAAGCCATTATACTCTTACACCTTCACAATCAGAGTTTGATTCATTTCTAACGAATCTCGCTTTTGTCCAGGATGATGTGGTCAGCTGGAGTTGTGGCTGCCTTGGGTTCAATTACGTATCCAGCAATCAGCGCATTTGTCTCACTTTATGCCGCGCCTGAAAGTCAAGGTAAGTGAAGCTATCACGTCGATTACACTTGTTTGTAGACTTATTTAACTCATGTGAATTTGACAGGTGCTGTTCAGGGCATGATCACTGGGATGCGGGGGCTGTGCAATGGCTTGGGACCCGCCGTCTTTGGCATCGTCTTCTATCTGTTCAATGTGGACCTGAACAGTGAGCACAGCGCCGTGGTGAGCAAGAGTCATGCGACGAATGTGGAAAAGATATCGATGCATGTGCCGGGGCCGCCCTTCGTTTTTGGTGCGCTGTGCGTATTCTGTGCGATTATCGTGGCCGCTTTCATACCCGAGCAGGGTTCGCAGACGTCGCTGGAAAAGAAACGTAAGGGAGAGCCTCAGTAGAGTGGGCGTGTTGTAAACACTTGAGATATTGTCGTGTATTAGCAATATAAAAGCAGAAATTTACAAATGTTCTTTTTTATGCATTGACGCAGGTGCCTCGCTCGATGTGCAGTACGAGATTGAGACAGGACACAAGGTGCCCAGCTCTTTGGCGCCGCTCATTCGATCCGATTCGCTGGCGCAGCTGTAGTTCGACATGCCCACAACCACGCCCATGCCCACTAAGCCCAATAATATACAAATTTAGTAATTTAGTAACAGATGCTGTATCTAGTTTCGCTTTAGTTTTTAACGGCAAACACACAAACAACCACACATCCAGCGCTAAGTTAGGATTCTACTAGAAAAACAAACAAAAGATGCTGTTATATTATTTACTTGCCGTTTGCAGTTTGTGATTCGCATTTGTTTATCGTTTATAATTCATTTCATAATTCAGTTATGACCTATTTATTATATACACGGACTATCCGAACTTTTGCCTCAATCAAAGATACAATTAATAATAATTTTAATCATTTTTGTCACATCACAGAGAGAGACAGGGATAGAGAGAGCAACAAGCAAAACGAGTGTTGAGCTTAACGAATTCTTTTTATTTATGCACCAACGGAAAACTGCCAAAAAAAAAATAATAAACAAAAATGATATATTTCTTATTATTTGTTTTGTTCTGAAGAGCAGCACAAGATTTTTATCGGACTATCGAAATCATTTATCATGCTAAAAGTATTGCAGATTTGTTAAAAAACAAAAAGAAAAAGAAAATGAAACTAAATGCAAATTATAATTATGAATTAGAATTAACTGAATTAGTAAGCTTTATCTTTGCAAATTGTAGTGATCTGAGGAACTAAGAGTCAAACTGAAAATGTCACAAATGGGATACTAAATCGGGCGTTGCACTTGTCGCTAACGTGTAATGTATTAATAATGCTAAAACTGTAAACTGTAAACTGTGTGTAATAGTTTTATTTTGATAATCAAGCAAAATCCAGAAATAATATTGTTTTTTAACTATCAAGGCTTAGCAAAACAAAAACAAAAAGAAAGAAAAGATAAAAACAAGATCAAGATAAGCAAGTGCGTATGTGTATATTACTAAGTAGTTGTATAAAGTGTTTGCACGTGCTATCAGGGTGCAAAGTTTCAGAACTTTCGATATATACATATATATATATATGTATATGTATATGTATACATAATGGTAGACATTAAAAACAAATAATATTTATATATACATATATTTTTGATTTTGAAACGCAATTAATGTAATGCAGTTAAATATAAAAATGAAACCAAATTTCTAATGTACATTTTAACTAATTTAACATAGATGATGATAACTGATTGTAAATGCAAGTATATGTATATTTAAATATATATATATATTGATATATATATATTTATTAATACCTAAATGTACTAACTTTTGATGCAGTGAAAGAAAAAAAGAAAAACAAATGCTGAAAAAGAGAGAGGAGCGCAATTAAAACCAAACAAGAATTATAATAAAAAATTGTGTAACAAAATAAATCAAATAAAACTATGTTTTGATGAAATCTGAACAATTTGCTTACTTGAACATCATCAACAACAACATCTTCATCATCATCATGATCACATATCCTCTGCTCTCACATCAAATGTGATTTTTGTTATTAAATTTTGACATATTTTAAATAGTTTTGACTTGTTAGTTTACAATTTGTAGTTACAATTTTAAAGTGTAATTTTTTGAACCAACCAAATTTCATGTGCATAGCTTATACATACATGTGCACCAATAATCCAGCCAAGACCAGAGCCAGGAAACGTGGATGCCATCATGCTAATCTCATAGCCATTGGATATTTCATTGTTCTGCTTGCATTGATTGAGCCTGTTCTGGTTGAAGGGGATGGAGACCTGTTGGGGCATGGCACCACCCACGAACAGTTGGGCCAGAGGCATTTTCCACCCGTGGATTTGACACCGTACTCGTCCACAGTGCACTATTCCGCCGATAGGAATCGCTCCAGTTGGGCAATCACACCCGTCTTTAATTTCACACATTGTCTATTCGACGCCTTTGTGAGCAGTAATTCAGCCCTGCCGCCGGGTAAGCATTTCCATCCATCCAAACGCAAATTTTGAGTGAATCATTTACAGGCTATTTGTCGGTTAAGAATGGGGATACTTTGGCCCTGGGTCCCAAGGTGGAGAAGAACGATTGGAGCGCACTCTTGGCACATTATTGGCTGGCCTTAGTTTGGGTCTTCTTCCTGGTGCTTCTCATATTTCTCATGCCGTTCATTGGGTGAGTAGATCGATTAAGGCACAAGGAAGGATCCGCAATAACCGATATCCTTGTTTTTAGTGTGTGTTATTGTTGCTTCTGTTGCTGTCGTCGTTGCAAGAAGGGATGTCCGCCATGCCAGGCCAAAGAGGATTCCTGCCGCAACATGGTTTGCAGCATGCTCCTGCTGCTGCTCATCCTGTTTATGCTGTAACATCATCTATTGACTGGATACTTTAGTTGATGTAGAGTCGAATTGATTGCTTCCTTTTTGCAGGCTTGGCGCCATCATTGCCTTCACATCGAACCGAACTCTGGATCGTGGCCTGGACGACACCCGAGTTACAGTGAGGCGTGGTACCGAGGACACTTGTCGCTTTTTAAAGGACGTCAGCGATCACATTCATCACATCTTCATCCACAACTATGAGGAGCTAGAGGCTCATATCAATGATATGCTAACTAGTAAGTCACTTATCTTAGTTAATCAGTTGGTTTTAGCTAATGAAAACTCTTTTTTAGATGCTCATTTGCATATATTCTTGGACTTGGCCGATGTCTCCGAGGCAAATGCCATCGAGCAATTGGAACGCATCATGGATAACATGAAGGAAGCCACAGTGTTGATGAGACGGGTGGACAAACTGGAGAAGGATTTGCGTTTCTATGGCACTCAGCTGCGAGACGGTAAAATGATCTCTTAATTATTGAATTAATCATGATTTATTTAATATATTTATGTAACATTTCTGTGGCAGGTGTCCGTGGCGCCAAGCGGGATGTGAACTATGCCTGCGCCAATTTGATTAGCCATGAAAAGTGCCAGAGTTTCCTAAGGAACTCAGCGATGGAGTTCGTTGATGCCTCTCCCTGCCTGCATCTGGATAAGGTGAGTAGGGATTTGTCGCCATCTTCATAAAGCATAAATAGATAATCTCCTGGCTCACAATCTAGCTTGATTAATCTTCGATAACGGCATATTATATAAAATCACTATTATAATTATCTCATGGAAATGTTTTGTTTGTTTCAGATGCCGAACACGACTGTATTTGTGGATGGCATGCGGAGTATAATCCTGGAGATGCAAAACGTTGAGATACCCAAAAAGGCGCTGCAGCGTTTTCAGGAGATTGGCGTCAAAATCCATACGGTCCTGCAACAGGTCATTCCGCCGCTGGTGCGCGATGTGACCAAGGGACGGAAGGAGTTTGAGACCCGGTCCGGTCAGATACGCACCCTCATCGATAAGGTCATCAGTGACATACATATGAGGACCTTACGCTCTACGCAATCCTTTGAGGATGTTTACGAAAAGTTCGGCTCCGGTCGCAGCTATGTCAATGCCTTTGCCTCTATATTGATTATAACGGTAAGTAGTACACTCAGGAAAAAAGTATATGGTTATAACAAATGTAAATAAATGTTTATTCACTGCAGGTTGCAATTATTGTGATAGTTGCGCTGATCTGCAGTTGCTGTGGCAGACTGGCAGTTGGCGCCACATGTTTGTTAATGTAAGTATAAAAGATATATACATATATATATATACGATAATCCTATAATAACAATTTTGTATTTGTAGCGCCATCATCTTTATATTCTGCATCTTCTCGTTTTGTGTGCTCCTTGGATTGTTCTACTTTGTGCTGGGCATGGTGACGTATCAGGGCGCCTGTGCTCCACTCCGAGATCAGGGTGGCAATGCCATGTTTCGCGAACTGGACGCAGCCATCAATCTGAGGCACTTTCTGCCACAGATAAAGGGCGAAAAGTCGCAGCCGGCGTTGCGTATGTCGACGGCCATCAAAGGTTGCATGGCGAATCAGTCGATCTTTGATCTGTTGCTGGTGAACAATCTGTACGATGCTGAGGATCTGACAAATATTATGATCATGAGCCAAAAGACGGACGAGGAGCAAAAGGAAGAGATGTTTGATGAGGATCTGTGGAGGTGTTCCTCCTAACCGAAGAGGAGCTAACCCAATTGAATGGCACAGGTGCCGGTGATTTGGGTCCATATCACAGCGTTTTATATATTGAGAATATGTGCAGACCTCTCACACCCAATTTGGACACATTATCTGCCGGTCTGCGAACGGTGCGGGATAATATCTACTATGATCCGGATTGGGACTATTGGAATAAATACGGTCGCTATTCGCTATCGAATGAGGCCCTTCAATTTGATACCTACAACAAGGAGTGGACTGAGAAAATACGGAACATCATGGACAAGATGAAGCAAAATCTCATTCAAATCGATGAGCTGATTCTCTATGAGAATCGCGATTATAGTGACTCCATCGAAGTGCTGTTGAGTGCGGTGCAACGCTCGGAGATCTTCATCAGGGAAAACGGCAAGGAATTCGTCAATGCGTTGGGTGCCAATCTGACCGATGTGGTTAACGAGCAGATCGATCAGTTTCTTCATGACCTGGTTCGCCGCTGCAACGAAGATGTCGGACACTGCACCCCCCTCGCCTACATCTATTATCGTGGCGTTGATCTAATCTGTTACCGCCTCGTCGATCCAATGGTGAGTTAAAGTACCATAATAAAATCTGTCAGCTTTCGAGTATGGAAATGATCTCTAGTATCTCCTTTCTTTTGAGAACTATAATTTCACCTCACATATCTATTGCATACCTAGCTATTCTGTCTAGGCATTAATTAAGACAAATATTCCTTTTACAGACAATACAAATATTCATTTTGCAGTGCAATTTTTTGCTCTCTGATAAAAGAGAGATGTATTTATGAATTTTTCGCTTGGAACTTAACTCGTTTTATAATTTACAGAACGGTTTCTGGGTCGGCATGTTGCTTGCCGCCCTGCTGCTGCTGCCCATCCTGATTGTTGCCCACAAGCTGATGTGTCTGTGGAAGCGAATGCACGCCGCAATTCTGCCCGTAGTCGTTGTTGTCCCAGAGGGAGGGTGAGTGCATTTACAATGAGTACAATTTACTGCTCTTAATCCACAACTAATAAACTTTTATGCTTTTATCCATTTATGCGCAGCTGTCCCACTTGCACTGGTGCTGCATATGTGCCGCCACCGATTATGGTCTGTACTGGGGGCCAGCAGACAGGAGCTTTCCATCGAACGGATGGCGGCGTTGCACGTTCAGTTGACAGTGTGCCACAGGCAGGAGCTAATGCTGCTGCTGCCAGCGGCTCTAATGCTGCCAAAGACACACTCGGCGTCAGATTCCATCCGGAACCGCCGACAAAGCCAAAAAAGGAATAGTAGAAGAAAAGTCGCAAGTCGAAGACTAAACATATTTTACATAGGACTTTGTCATGATAATTGTAAATTTGTAAATGCAATCAAATTATATAAAAGAGCCTTTCTTCAATATAGAAAATATGATTGACAATGTTCAACACCTGCCCTTTGATTTATCTGTAAATGTGTTAAATATTTGTCACAACACAATTGCACACATCTAAAGCACCGTAACACTAAAAACGCACACGAAACACTTTTAAAACACAGATCCGAACCGGGTTGATGTTAGATGCAATTCGTTAGCCACGTTAAGAAATGAAATTTAGGCCAGATTTACAGATAGGATGGGAAAGTTCAACGAGAGGCAGCGAACTCGGCATCCAATTACCAGGCCAACTAAATGGGTACTAATTGGTCTCTTAGTGCTGGCCATCAACGGCAGAATTATGGCCCTGGATGAAGATGCTCCAGTAAAAGTAGATGAAATCGATCAAGAAAAAAAAGATGAAGGCAGTGAGCAAGTAGCTGATGCAGATGCAGATGCAGATGCTCCTGTGGAACTTAATAATGAACCACCTGGGATTGATGTGGAAAAGTTGCGCACAGATGACCTCTACGAATCGGAAACACCCCATGAAGAGATGGGTCAGGCTCACTGGCCAGCTGTCGTATTTTCCGATTATGTGTCCAACCCTGTATATAGCAGTCCGGAAAAATATACGGAATTTGGCCTGAGACCCGTCTACAATTTCACCCATTTTCTGTTCCAAAACACGCTGACCAACGAACCCGCTCTGCCGCCAGGATACATTGTGGTCAAGGGCGAGGATGCTTTGGAATTGGGACCCAAGTTTCAAGAGAATGATTGGCGAGATCTACTCTGGGACTATACGTTGTTGCTGCTCTGGGTTGGTTTTCTGCTAGCCCTCATCATAATCATTCCATTTATTGCGTGAGTAACCTCCAAAATTGACTTCAAGCAAATTCACGATTCACATTCATCCTTTTTTACTCCTTTGTGCAGTGTGTTGTATTGTTGCTTTTGTTGTTGTCGCCGTTGTCCGCAAAGTTGCCCGCCCTGCGATAGTAAACGGGACGCCAAACTACGCTGCATGTGTGGCATGCTACTGCTGCTGCTCATCCTCCTCATCCTGTAAGTGTGCGACAAGTGTATAAGAGATATATAAATAGCTGTTGGTTTATAGACTTGGCACTGTTATTGCGTTTTTGGCCAACAAGAGCTTGGACGAGGGCACCGCCAAATCATCAAATTCGTTACGAAGAATCGCCGAGGACATTTGCACCTTCTTGAAGGACATCAAAAATCATATCTATCATTTGCTTAGCCGCAACTACGAGGAGATGATGAATCACGTAATCGCTTTGCTAAACGGTACAAATACTTTTCTTATCTACTTGTTGATAAATACATTTTTTCTTATTCTTTTGGCAGAGGCGGATACTCACATATTTATGGATCTGGGGAATGCATCGGAGTCGAACGCTCTCGAGGAACTAGAACGCATTTTCAAGAATATGCCACAAGCCCATAAGCTAATGATGGAGGTCAGCGCTCTAGTGAAGGAATGGATATTTCTCAACTCTCAACTGCGAGACGGTAACTATGAAATAATAAATAACAAATTATGCTCCAACAAATATAAATTCTTATCCGATCTTCGAGCTTACATTAAAACTTGAAAACTTGTCTCGACTCGACTAGTCTTTTTCACTGAATATTTGATATTCGCAGCGATTCGTGGCATGAAGCGTGACATTCTGTATGCCTGTACTCTGTGTTCGCATTGGAAATGCAAAAACTTCTTGCGATTCGATTGGTTGATGACGATTGATACCATGAAATGCCTACATCTCGATCTGGTAAGTTCAATCTGTCCCCTAGATCAATGGGAACCTTCCCCTTCTCACTTGGCTTCTTTCTTTCTTTTTTTGTTGTTGAATAGTTGCCCGATAGCGTTAAGATTGCGGAGTCCATGCACGAGGTAGTTGAACAGAAACGTGATGCGATGATCAGAGACGCTTTGCTTCGGCTGCAGGACATCAAAGATGTCATAGTCGCTGAGATGGACGTTCTAGCACCGGCCATCATTAAGGACCTAGAGAAAGGACGTGACACGATGCTAAATCAAGCCGCTATCATTGGCATCATCATCGAAGAGGTCGTCAGTGATATCTTTTTCAGCGCAACCCGCATCACGAGATCCTTGGAGCAGCTATACAAGGAATATGCCGTTAATCGCAGCCGAATCAACTTTATTGCCTGTGTTATTTTAGCAGTGGTGAGTATAAGCATTATTTTTACTGTAATCATCTCATTTTCTCCTGATCTTGTTTCAGATCATATTCCTCTCGCTGGCTGCCTTAATATTGGGTTGTTGCATAAGCAAACGAACAGCGGCCTTTTGCTTATTGCTGTAAGTGAATTTAGTACTTATATTTAATAATGTGCTTAACTTAGAAGCTCCAGCGTGCAACTCTCCACACAAGAGCATTACTAATAATGAATTACATTGTATGCGTACAGAATGCATTCGGTAATGAAAGGTCATCCACTAGTTCGCTGCTGGGTAACATTCCACTCGAGAGAAACAAAATAGATTCCATTGCACTGGAACTGGAAGTGTTATTTGTTGACCAAGCGTTTCAAATTACACAGTAGAACAATGCAACACCAACATACACACACTTGTGGACGAATGCATTGCTAATTCAGCTTTTCATATTCTCCCACTCAGCTTTAGTGGGAGGTGAAGTTGAATTTAGAGCTCATCTCACCTCTCTCCCTCTCTCTCTCTGCTCGTTACTACTTAAGATCTCTCTCTCTCTTTATTTTACAGCGTAATCCTTTTGATATTCTGCGTGCTCTCATTCTTAACATTAATTGGATTGTTCTATTTTATGCTGGGTCTGATCACATACCAAGGAGCCTGTGTCCCGACGCGAGATCAGCAGAAGATTGAATTATTCCGTCAGCTGGATGCGGCAATCGATGTGCCTCATTATATGTCGCATCTAAGTGACCAAGCGGACAAAGATAAGGAAACGGGACCGTTGCCAATGTCCTATGCGATGGAGTCATGCGGGGAGGATCAATCGATATTCGATGTGCTCCTCGAGAATAATGTGTACGATATACGCGATTTGGCATCGATCAAGATACTGAGCACTGCTGGCACGAACGCATTTGTGCAACCTTTTGTGAACTTGACGCTATTAACGGTGGAGGAGAAAAGCGATATTATCAAAACATATAGCGGCACTCTGGCGCCCTATCACAGCGTTAACTATCTGAAGCATATGTGCACCCAACTCACATCTACCCCATTGATCCTGCTGGCCAGCAAGATGAGAAATTTGTCATCGGAATTGTTGACCAATTGGGGTGGCCATCACCATACAAGGCAGGCCCTCTTGGATGCTGCCGCAATGCTTGAACTCTATCACAAGGAGTACGTATTGAAAATCGACGCGGTGCAGGATGCCATGAAGCCAAAACTAAGTGAAATCGATGATCTCATCTTGTATAATAATCATAATTTTGGCGATTCAATTCATGTACTGCTTGAGGCGGTAGTCCGATCGGAAGAGTTTATCATATCTCGTGGCGATCAGTTTATGGAGGAGCTACTTGACAACCTGACCCGATATGTGAATTTTCAGATCGATGACTATTTCGAAATGGTTATAGACGAGACAAACACAGAAGTCGGCAGATGCAAACCCCTCGCCTATATCTATGATCGTGGTGTCGATCACATCTGCAGACATCTGATCGATCCAATTGTGAGTCTAGATCATATCATATATCATATATATATATATAATCTAACAATCCATATTTTCAGAATGGATATTGGGTTGGGATATTGCTCTGCAGTCTCCTCTTTCTGCCCCTGCTCTTTGTCGCCCATCGTCTGATGTGCTTATATAAGATTTATTCTCCCCCGATGACACAAGTCAAGTAAGAAGTGGCTTCTCTTATTATTAATAAAATAAATAATAAATTTTAATTTACCTATCTCAGTCAATTCCACTGTCCAATTTGCATGGGTGCTCCAATTGTGCCCGACCTGGTCCCTGGGCAAGGAAACCGGTTCTTGGCTGGTAGAAACGATGGCGATTTCATAATTTTAACGGATCAGCTCGAAAGTGAAAGTAACGTTTTGGAAGTGAAAGAATCGCAAACTTCCAATAACAAGCGAAAACAGGAGTAATTACAAAATTCTCTCAAGCAAAACATACCTGAGATATGTCCAATGTTATATATATTCTCTTAATTGAATCAAATAAAACTTAATAAAAAAAAGATCAATTTAAAAGGAAAAACTGGTTTCGTTCAATATTCAAAAACTATCGTACGTCCATATCGATGACACACAGAGTTACGCATTGATTGTCATATCGATAGTAACGAAAATGCTGACGATAGTCGATTAGCCATCACTGAGAGTGGGGCACTACCATCGCTAGTAGTTGTCGTTGTGTGCTACGCGCGTCGAGGCCAACGTTCGACGACGGCTTCTTGTCTTTGTGGAAATTGTGTTAATTGCCCCCTTAATAAAAAGGTGATTTACCTAGTGAATCCAACTAAATGCTGACTTAAACTGCCATCTAAATTGCCATTTCAATTGTGTAAACAAAGTGTCGAGTGCCCAGCGATTAAAAATTGAACCCGCCACCAGTCAAAGAGTAGACAAAGAAAAGAAAAAGAATGTTTTGATGCAGGCGGTGTAATAGATACACACACAAACGCATGCACATGCTATGCTCTGTATGCATGTATATGTGTATGTAGTGAAAATGCAATATATATGCATCTATGATTGTATATATGTATGTAAATAGGCATCCCAATGTAGCTATTCCCGTTTTGTAAGTGTGTTTGTGTTTTGACCCACGCATAGTTACAATTCACATTCCAAGTAGAATACGCGAACCCAGGCCACTGGAAGCTGTACACACACGCATAAAATAAACAGGGAGGGGTGCCCTAAACGTGTACTACAATTTAAATACATGTGTGGAAAAATTCATGTTTGCTTTTGCAGATTCAATTGATATTAATATTCCACACAGGAGAAACAAATGGATTCCATTGCATTGGAACTGGAATGCTTAAGTGTTCCAGCTGGGTCGCTTTTTGTTATTTGTTGACCAAGTGTTTCAAATTACACAGTAGAACAATGCAAACATCAACATACACAGACTCGTAGACTGAATGTTCTTGATTTGCATATATATGAGTGTGTGTGTGTTTGGCTAATTGGATTTGGAAGTTTCCGTCAGGTGAAATATGATTTGATTTGTGTGTTTTTGCAATGCAGAAGCTGAGCAAGAGACAAAGACACCAATTACCGTTACTCTTGTTTGTCTGTTCTGTGAGTGCGAAGAATGCGTTACTGTTCAGATTGAGGGTGAGGTGAAGGTGAATCTAGCGCTCATCTCACCTCTTCCCCCTCACTCTTGTATTGTTTATTTTGTTTGATGCATGGCTGGGTTTCTTTGCCGTTCACACGCGACAACTTGAGATCGGAATCAGGGCAATTGAATTTGTACGTATTGTATGTGTGTGTAGTGGTAAATGTGCATAGCATTTGCGCAGAATACACAGCTACAGCTACGCATACAGTTACAGATACATCCCTGACCTGTGTAAAAAAAAAACACATGCATACATACATACAATATATGTATATGTAAATGCCATCACCTATATTCTCATTGTGTATGTGTATTGTATGTATGGGTTTCGTTGGAGACGCTGGCTGGCTGTTAGCAAGCAGAGGCCGTAGCCCAAATCTAGTTGCTGGTCTTCTATGCGCATGTACTACGGATGTATGTATGTATTTATGTATATATTTATAGCCGGCACCCAAGTATTTATCTCTGTTTTTTTGGGAACACTTGCATTCCAAAAGACATGCAAACATGCAAGTGCATGTCACCAAATTGCATTTCCAGTTTGCATTCTTAACGCTTCCAGTTTCCAGCTAAAAGTCATCTGTTAATGTGTTGGAAATTAACGTATCTTGCAATGCGTTTTTACTGTTATAAAGCAAAGCAAGAAATATTATTCATGCTAGTCTCTTCTCCTTCTCTCTTGCTCTCTCTTCGCTCTTCTCGTTGACATATGAAGTCAATGCTTTATGCTTGTAGATTCTACTTCCGTTCGCCCATCAACAACAACAGTAACAACCGCAACAACTTGACTCATTTCTCTCGTTTTGTCTCACACATTTCACATATGAGTATGCGTTTTATATTCATTGTTTGCCATCTGTCTCGCTTGCACGTGTGCTTAATTTCAATTGAAAATTGTTCTTTGTGTCAGCATTTGATTATGCTTTTTATGGCAGCTCCAGCTGAGTCTGAGTCTGAGTCTCAATCTGACTCACATGGCTGGCAAAACCAGTTTCCCTTGGCCAGATACCGGTTCTTTGTTGCGTTCAAAAGTATCTGCACATCAACTGCGACTACATTTCGTGCTATCTTTTTAAACAGCACAAAGATGACACTGAATTTCCGCCCATGGCCAGCAGATCAGTTTCCCTCAGTTTGTTGTATATGAAACATCCGAGATTGTTTATGTAACCAAAAGCTTAACTCGGAGTTTAATGTTGCTTAAATATGAACAATATTTGGAAAATTATGTTTGTATAAAGTGCACAAATGATAAGCTCAATTATTTATTGTTCTCTTTACATTTGATATTGATATTAGCTTTACTTAAGGAACTTGAATAAATAAGAGCTGAGAAATACGATAATTATTACTGCAAGTGATAAAGCTCTTATCTAAATTGAAATTTGTTACTCTACTTAATAAAGTTTTTAGTCTAGCGTATCTATTTACAATGTATGTTTTTATACCTCTGATATAACTTATCTATTGTACTCTTTCTTTTTTTAGATTGATATCTGATTATTTTTACAGAGCTTGTATACTTTGTATATATTCAAAGAACAGTGATATCTCAAATTGATTACTTCAACTGATAAAGTTCTTATCTAACTTTACCCGTTATTTTAAACTCTTTAAATACATTTTTTTTCGCAATCTTTTGTCTGTTCTTTTGCCGAGTGTACCTTCATTACGTATCTTGCCAATAAATAATAGATCGTTTAACTAACTAAGCGTAAGTGATTGAAATACCAACAGACTAAGTACAAAACTAGGTTGCAGGTTAATTAGATTGCCTGCAACCTACTTGCAACTTGTGCAACTTGTCCCTTAATCAAATTGGCTGCGCCCAAAGACGACGCAGTGCGGGAATTTTAAATAGAGTTGAGTTGAGCTGAAAGAAGAAAAAAAAAACCAACCTGTGCTGGCCTCAATAAGTTCGAATCGTACTTTTCTTGGCTTTCACTTAAAATATAGACGGTGCTTTTGTTGTTTGCGTGTTTGCTATTTCAATATTTGCGCCCAACGCCTTTTTTTGCAGACTTGAAAACACTTCTGCTGCTTGGCATTAATTATGCGAAGCGATACCAGTTGAAAATATACTTGTGCTGGAAATTCCAGCCACAAGAACACATTCTATTTTTTAATATATACACAATTTAGTTCAAGGTCAAACAGCTCACATGAATTAATTAGGGATAAACAAAAGCCGTCAGTAATTCTACAATTGAACAAGTATTTATTTATCTTTAATTAAAGTGTGTGCTTTCTTGCACGTTCTCGAGAATTGAGCAATTCTGGCTGCTGATAAACAATTCTCTAGCTTTACACGCTTGGTGACTAATAAGACAATAAGGAATATATCTGTGTTGACCGAACGTAATCATCTAAATCACAAGATCTTCATATCTGTCTATATATGTATTAACTGCGCAATTTTGGTCTCCTCAACTATTTATTTAGGTTAGTCATCTAAATCACAAGATCTTCATATCACTCTATATATATATTTATTTAGTACACAATTCTAGCAAAGTCATCTGTTCAGTTTTATAGGCATATGTGCAAGCACTTTCTAATAAATGAAGCCGTCCACGCTTAAAAGTACATTTGTGCATTGGCCAAGCGAAAGGTATCTGGTTGCCACAAATATACAAAAAAAGCAGAAAAAAAACCTGTTAGGCTTGGCTGACTTAAAACAGCATCAGACAGAAAGACAGACAGACGGACAAACAGACAAACTGATTCAATTTCAAGAAGTGGGTCGTCGTCGGCGATTACTCGTTTGCTTTCCAGCTTTTTCGATGACTCGTCCACATCGTAAAACTGCACAAAAAAGGAAAAAATCATATTACTTATATAAATTTGTGTACAATTACCACATGTCTTAAATTCATCGCAAATTATCATTTGTGGCTGCAGTTGTGCATAAAAAGCTGTTGCCTTTGAAAATCGGTTGTTGGAAGTTTTTTTTAGTTGGAATTTTCACTTGAGTTTCGAGCCAGAATCACGTTTTCCACTGCAAATGCAGCAATATTTTAGTGGTCAGACTATGAGCTAAACATTATTGCTTTTGAAAATCGGTTGAGCTTTGGCAGAAAAAACTATAAAAACTATATGCGAGAATTTTTCTAGAGAAGAAGTCATGATCAAAAAGACCTACTTTTTAAAAATCTTGATTTTTGTTAAAAAGTTATGGCTGAGAGAAATTATTAGCCATGTCCAAATGGGATTTCGGGGTCTAATTAATTTATAAGTGTAAATTGAAGCATAAACCGGAAAATGTTTTAAATGTATTAAATAATTTCAATTTGTTTTGGTACTAATTTAAAAGCCACAAATGGTTGAAATTCCGAGAAAGTGATAGCAGTGTTCAATTTGCACCTATGTCAACCATCTTTTTTTTTTGGGATTTTTTAGGGCTGCATTTTGACATGAATTTTAAAATGATAGGTTTGAGCAGCAGCAGCCGCCCCTAGAATAATCGGCGCTCCACCTGGCAAACAGATTGCTCAGATTGCTCTCCGACTGCGCATGTGCTTATTATTATCACGTCTGCAACAAATTTTGTTGATTTTGTTTTGTTTGTTGTGTTTTTTCAAGCGTTGCGCGTTGTGCGTGCTTAAATTAGAGTTGACCTCTGCCCCCTCCTCTGCCTCCTCTTCATTCTCTTGCTCTTGTTCTTCTTGCTCCATTGTTGTCAAGCGAGGGCAGCTTCCAGCTTTTGTCCGCTGCTCGTGTCAAGGCCGTTCAAATGCTCTCTCTTGAGTTATCTGTCTCCCTCTCTCTCTCTCTGCCATTCTCTCTTTCTCCCCTATTTCGTTGCAAGCGTATACAGAATTTTGCCAGGAGCAAATCGCACCTTCAACTTGTCGTAGTCTGGCACAGGATGAGCTAGACAACGCAACGTATACGCAATCTAAAAGCAATTTTGCTCAATTGTTGTTTGACATGACAATTAAACGGGCCGTTAACTGTCTCTTTTAACTGGCAGGCGACACTTTAAGGACGGACTGCCCCTATTTAGTGTAAAACTGACCAAGCCATTGCAAAAACAAACAAAAACAAGCCGTTAAAAGTGCGCATAAAAAACAAGTAAGATAAGCACTGTGTGTGTGTGTGTATTGTGTGTGCGTTGTGTGTTGTGAGTTTGTTTGTTTGTTGTGCGTGTTTTGTGTTTACTGCGACACCTTCTGCTGGGGCAAGTCAAGCGAGGCAGTTAAGCAGGCGACCATCGCTGGTTCAAGTGCCAGCCAAGAACAACAATAAAAAACCACATCAGAGTGTTGCACCCCACACTATTTTTTTTTATTATTAACTGGCCTGCTGTCCATTTAAGTTGAGCTTCTTCGTTCAGCCTGCTGCTGTTGCAGCACTCAACATACAGTTTACAGTTCATGGCGAGGTTCATTCAACTTTGCCTCCTCTTTTGCTATCTGTGTAATGTGTTCTATGTTGGCACTTGTTGTGGTTGTGGTTGCTTTTCTTGAGAGAATGCCATAAATTTATAATCGTTGATTGATAATGTTTTATGTGACATAAGAAAATTGTAGACATATCAGACGAGCTACATTGTGAATTAATAACAATGTGGAGGGGGTTTTAATATTTATATTAATCAACAATTTTCAGAAATTCATTCATATTAAATGTATACTCATTTTTAAAAGCGGCTGAATAAATGAAAAAAAATTTAGACATATTAGTCAAGCTATTCTGTGTATTAAAACAACTTTATTCTTATCGGTAGGTTTGTTCTGGGAATTAAATATTGCGTAAATATAAAAATAAATACCACTTCTCGGAAATTGCTTTCCCTTTCAGTTTTCACTTCGCATCAAATTTAATTCAATTTTTTTATATTAATATTAAATGCTTGCTCATTATTATGAAATGCGCCTGATAAAGAACATTTAGCTTCTTCTTCCTCTTCTTTGTCTTCTTCTTTTTAAAGCAGAACGAAAAAAAAACGACAACAACCGCAGTCAGGGTAGAATTACGTGTTTGCCATTCTATCAGGCATAGCCTCGGTGGCGCAGTTGGCAGCGCGTAAGTCTCATAATCTTAAGGTCGTGAGTTCGAGCCTCACCCGGGGCATGTAATATTTTTTTTATTTTTCTAATTTTCTTTAATGCCTTGAACCCATTAAGAGAGAGGAAAAACGCGTATAATGTAGTAACAGACAGAGGCAAGCATAAACTATATATATGCATTTACCTAATCAGCAGCAACAGCCGATCTCAGAGACAATAGGAGCCAGAGACTTGAAATTTGGAATATAAATTCTTGTTTGTCATAGGCAAATTAGGATTATTTTGTTTAATTGAAAACTAACCAGCCTTGCACGAATATCGAATATGTATACAAATCTTTTAATTGATGTTGGGGAACAACTGTACAATTTTCATTAAGATCGGCCAAGCATAGCAGATTTTGTGAACCAGAAAATAGTTTCTTACTGAGCAAACTAAAATTAGCTAGCCTATTTAACAGTTTGCTTGGCGAAGGAGGCTATCTTGGCTTATGCATAAGATCAGCAATACAGATATATAGAATATATTGCTAGTATTAACTGCCAGGCATATATGCTATGCTTCCTTCGAGGACATTTAGATTTGCTGTCGTAGATACGAACTTAGAGTCGGTCAGTTGAAATTGAAATTGCTGCTGTGGATTGTCGTTCGCATTCGCATTCGGTTTTTATTGGCTTTAATTGATGTCAAGTGGAGTGTTTTGCCACACACAAACACACACACGCGCACACACCACAAAGCATTTGAGCATTTGTGCTTAAGCAAATAAAGATGCGACACACCCACATCAAGAATGATATATATATATATATATATATAAGTATATATGTGTGTATATATTTGCATTTGTGCTTCACTCGCCTGCCAGGGATTAATATCAATACACCTATATGTAAATTGGGTCAAGACATGCTACATTCATATTAGGGAGTGTTGTTGGTTTCGAGAAACAAACACGTTTATTTTAATCGTTTCCCTCTTTTCTACTTTTTTGCATGCAGCGCTCGCTGACGCATGAAATGGATGCGTTGCTCTCCGGTGGCCAGAAGTGGAACCCAAACAGGAGCCAAGCGTGTTAGAAGCAACATTTCAAGAGCCCAGACAACCGGCCGCAACACACTCCTATTCTAAAGAGTAGGAGGAGGAGGAGGACGGTAGACAGGCAGACAGACAGACCAGAGAATGACACAAGCGACGATGGAACGTCTTAAGGCCAAGGCGCCGGCACGCCATAAAATCAGCGCTCGAAAGCGAAGACAGCGTCAAATTGTCTATTGGGCCATATGCAGTTTTAGCCTGATAGTGTTCGGCTTCGCCTTGGCCACCTTAATAAGGCCAGCACACGCAGCAAATGTAGCAGCAGCAGTTGGGGCAAGAGGCGCAGAGGAGTGGCGAGAAGAGAAGCCGGGCCAGCTAGACTCTGACTCTGACTCGTCCCTGGCCAATTTCACGGACTACAAATCGAAGGCCAACTATACCAAAGAACCAAAGCAATCCACTAAGGCAATGGACCCCGTTTATAATTTTACACGTTACTTGTTCGATTACCTCTTGCCCGAAGAGGCAGCTATTCCACCGGGTAAGCAAAGCCGAAGTCCAACTAAATTTAAAACTCCAATACTTAATAATGTCTTCTTCATTTAGGTTACATTGTGATCAAGGAGGACAGCATCGCTTTGGGCCCGAAGGTGGAGGATAATGATTGGCGCGAGCTGCTCATGCAGTATTGGGTAGTGCTCATTGCCACTTTTTTGATGGTTGCCCTCGTCGTCATCATGCCCTTTATAGCGTAAGTAACAGCTCCTGCTCAGTCATAATCAGTCTAATCTCTTTCGTCTTCATCCACAGCATCTGCTATTGCTGCTTCTGCTGCTGTCGCCGTTGCAAGGAGGGATGTCCACCCTGCGATAGTCAAAAGGACGCGCGCAGACGCTGCTGCTGTGGCCTGTTCCTCCTCCTGCTAATCATTGGAATTCTGTGAGCTCAAATACAAATCCAACAATATCAGTTTTACATTTTAATTACCCCTTTTGCAATTGTAGTTTTGGTGTGATCATTGCTTTTGCGACCAATAAACTGTTGGATCGTGGCTTTGAGGAGACGAGCACAACTGTGCGACGTGGCAGCCAGGATACCTGCACCTATCTCAAGGATGTCTCCGATCACATTCACCATCTGCTTGTCAATAACTATGAAGAGATGGATAAGCATCTAACCGACAAACTAACGAGTAAGGCTTAAGTTCAAGTCGGTGTCCTGTTTTGCAGAGTTAATTCAACTCTTTTTTCACCCTTTAGACTTACATAAAACCATATTCCTCAATTTAATGAATGCATCGGAGGCGAATGCAGTTTATGATCTCGAACGCATATTGGACAACATGGATGAGGCGCAAAAGCTAATTAGGGAAGTGGATAAATTGGAAAAGGATTTGCGGTTCTATGCCAAACAGTTGCAAGATGGTAAATTTTAAATGATAAATTATGTTAAATATTTAATATTATGAACTTATCTATTATTAATATTCATTAATTTTGAATTCTTTTAGGTGTTCGTGGCGTTAAGCGTGATGTGAACTATGCCTGTGCTGTGCTCTGCGGCAATCGGGAATGCTTACACTTTTTGAAGCGAACGGAAATTGAGTTCCTCGATAGTTCGAAGTGTCTACAATTTGATGACGTAAGAATTGGATGGATTCTTTAATAAAGGGATTATTACTGAAACCGTTCTCTCTTACAGCTACCGGATACCACGTACTATCTGAAGGCCATGGACTATATCATTACGAAGAACAGTGCGAAAACATCCAAGGAAGTTATTGATCGACTGCAGCATGTGGGCAAGAGGATTAAGGCTGGCATTGATCCGATTATACCACCGATAATCCGTGATATTCGCAGTGGACAGGATCTGTTCCGCACTCAGGCGAACAATATACGCAGCATGATCGATTCTGTCATCAGTAAAATACATTTAAATACAGTTCGATCGACGAAATCGTTTGAGGATGTCTACGACAAATATGGAGCCGATCGTAGCATCATCAATGTCATCGTTTGTGTCGTCCTATTGATTGTGGGTACAACTCTAAAACTCAATTGAATGCCACCTAACTAAATCTGAATTTGATTTTCTTTTTTAGATTCTAATTGTGCTGATTATTGCACTGGTTTGCGGCTGCTGTGGACGTCGTCGTCGGGGATATCGTGATGATTGCTGCAGCAAGGGAACAGGAGCATCCTGCTTGTTACTGTGAGTATTTAGAGATGAAATTCCTTTTAAATATCAATTCAATATCAATATCAAAATATATATTAATATAAATATTTCCATTCCTCATTTTAGTGCAATATTGTTGATATTCTGCGTGTTCTCGCTTGTGGTTCTCGTTGGCGCGTTTTACTTTGTTTTTGGCCTGGCCACCTATCAGGGTGCGTGTGCCCCACTCCGAGATCAGGAAGCGAATGCGTTATTCCGTCAACTGGACTCGGCCATTGATCTCAATCGGTATTTGCCAAAGAGCGAACTCAAATCGGAGACACCATTGCCCCCGCTGCGCATCTCGAGTGCCATCAAAGCCTGTCAGGCGGATCAGTCGATCTTTAAATTGCTCAAAGATAACGATCTGTATGACATTGAGGATCTGGCGAGGGTTAAAGTTATCGGGGAGACGCCAGCCGTGCCCATTTTCCTGGCCAATCTGGACAATTTCACAATACTCACAGACAAGGATAAGCGTGATTTGGAGGCGTTGCGCAGCAGCAACTTATCGAGCTACCAAAGTAAAGTTTATACGGATCACTTGTGCAATCAATTGACGCCCATTGATTTGCCCACATTGGCCAATCAATTGAAGGAGTTGCGCGCCAGTCTCTGGAGTCAGTGGGGCATCTTTGATTGGGCCCGCACCTCGCTGTACAACGAAGCCTACAATCTGCAGAGATATCACGAGGAGTTCGTCGATAAGATCAAATCGATAATGAGCAACATGACGCAAAAACTATTGAAAATCGATCAACTTATTTTGTATAATGGCAATGCATTTGGTGAATCGATTAAACTGCTGCAGGCATCAACGGAACGCTCGGAAGTCTTCTTCCGAGTTCATGGCCAGCAATATGTGAGTGAACTGCGCGAGAATCTCACCAGCTCCATCAAGGAGCAGGTCGTTAAATATATCGAAATGGTTGTGGAGAAGTGTCAGGGAAATGTCGGAAAATGCGCTCCACTCGCCAACGTTTATCGCCGCAGCGTCGACTTGATTTGCCACCGTCTTGTCGATCCAATGGTGAGTAGACAACAATTTTGAATATATTTTTAACGTATATTTGAATATATAAATAACGTTCCTTATTATTTAGAATGGTTTCTGGGTTGGCGTGCTGCTCTGTGGATTGCTCTTCCTGCCCGTGCTCTTTGTGTCCCACCGCCTGCTGTGCTTGTACAAGAAGATTGATCCCTATTCGGCGCCAGCTGTGGCCGTTGTGGAGGGCGGGTATGTTTGTCCCCCGTCCCCAGTCTCCAGTCCCAAGTTATCTTCATAGTTAACTGCATGCATAACGTTGGGCAAATGCGAGTTGTTAATTGGTTTTGCACATGGCCACTAATCTGATCATTCCACTTGTGTTCCATTCTCTCATTTCACCGCTAACCCCTCCCATTACGCTACATACGCTGCACGCCCCCGCATCCCGCACGCAGCAGCGACTACTTGTACGATGCGTATAGCGAACGCGAGCGCGAGCATGTGCCACTGGCCAAGTAAGCGATAGAGAATTGATTGGATGTCTGATAAGAGCCACACAGACACACATCTCTAACTGCCTCTCTCCCTCTTCTGTCTCTGCCCCTCTTTCGTTTTTCTGTGTTCTTTGTAGTGTGCCCAAGAAGCGACGCAAGGCGTACGAGAGACGGGCGAGGGAGCAACAGGATTACTATGAGGATGCTTCGCCAAGTGTGTCGAGAGTGTCGCGTTCAGCTGGCGCTGCTTCGGGCGCTGCCAACGGTGATGGTCCATCTGCTGGTGGCAGCAATATGCGCTATAATGATGTGGCACCCACGTAAGTTCATCCCCCAAATTCCCCTCACCCCATTCCCCAAAAAATATAAATAAAAACACGCGTGTCCTGCCTAATCAAAATTTCTAAATTAGCATACCTAACACACACACATCTATATATATATATACATATAATCTCCATCGATACCAGAAACACACACAAAAGTTACAAATTGAATGGCCGCCCAAAATTTAATAGCTACTTTTTCGATTTTGTTTTATTTAGCGCTAAAGTTGTACAAGACACAAGGCCAAAAGCACTGGCCGCAGATGGTTTCTTTTAGGCATGAACCGAAGTGCAAATGGTTTGATTTGGTTTGGTTAATACATGTTTTGTTTGGTTCACAACCTCCTCTATAACCGTGTCTCTGCCTACCAATCAGTGTGCGTACAGTTGCCCCCCAAATAATAGCACCACCACCTCTCACAACAAATTTATCTTTTTTTTTCCAAATTTATTGGGACTTTTGAATATGTTTTAAGAGCTACACAAAATGGAAGAAAACATATCGTTGTGGTGCTCTTATTTATTTTCCGCAACTGTATGTGTGTTTGTGTGTGTTTGTTGTTGCTTTTTGTTACTCTACGCAATCATACAGATCATTTGTCATATAGTCAGTCCAAAGAACATTAACTGGCTATGTATTTCGAGTACATCTCATTCTGCTTCAAACTCTGCCACATCGGAGACTACAACTATAACTACAACTACAACTATTACAGCTATTACTCTCTGCTCCATTGCCCAACTCCAGACGCAATTTAACTGTTGCTTTAGTTGCAAAAGAAAACAACAACTAATCCGACATGCCTCAGTTGTTCTTGTTTTTATTCGTGTTGCAGTTTATTTAATTGACTTTAATTATTAACCGATTTGTATTGCAACAATTCACAGGCACTGGGATCATGAGCCGCCACGTTATCACAATCCGCCCGTGGCGCCGCCAGCATCCGAATATGAGCGTCCACCTCCCTACTATTATCCAGGTGCCTCGGACCAGGATTAAGTGGCTAAAAGACATACAGACGACAGAGAGGATTGAATGGAGAAGAAGAGTTGGCAAATCATACGCAAGGATTTCATTTTGAATACTGGAAGCAACAGCAAAAACAACAGCAACAACAAGAAACAACAAACCCATTTTACTGAGACTGTAATTTTAGTTGAAAATTAGGTTTTTTATTTAGAGTTATTATGTAATTTGTAGCATCACAATGTGTTATAATATTTCTTTTGTGGACTGTATCAGACGATCTGCCAGACAATGATAAATATGTGGAATGCGCGGAATAGTGAAAACCTAGTTTATAAGCACAGATCGATAACGAAGGCAAGTTCGCATCGTAGTAATACTCCCTATATAGATATATACAATATTGTTTAAAGTTTACACATTAAAAATGTTGCCAAAAGAGAAAAGCAAAGTGGAAGGCGGAATGCGGAAAGCGGATTGAAAGTGATGCAATTGGGTTGAAATCAATATGAATATGCACAGCTAAAGCATTTAATAAGTTAGTGTTCAAAACAAAACAAAAATTTAAAAAAAAAAAAACAAAAACAAATATCCCAAACGGAACTTTAAAGAAAAAAGGAAGACGCTCACGAACTTGAAAGTATCTCATTAATTTATTGAGCACCCCACAATAATCAATATACAATTAATAAAACTTGAAAACTTGACGACAAGTGCCAGAGATAAAAACTGTTTCAAATCAAAACAAAACCAGAACTGCCATTTTAATTTAGTGAATTCAGAGCAGATCAGATAAATCTCACAAGTTTTCGACTCTTGTTTTATTTTTATATATACGACAAGTGTTTGTATTTATTTTCCAAGAAACTAATACACTACACTAATACAGACGACTTCCTTAACACACCGCCTGGTCCCCCATAATATGTATTTACTTTAAATTGTCATAGTTAAGTAAGACAATATTTCTCAAACTCAACTCCATAATAATGTTTTCTATTAAATACTTATATTCAAAATCAGGGCAAACTGCAAGTAGCCAAAATACAAAAAAAAAGAATGCACACATACACCTATACACCTACACACACACGTATTACATATGTATTTTAGTTAAGCAGGAAAAAGCAACAAGTATATATATAAACTGATACTGTCTGAATGTATGTAAACATTTTCTTTTACGTACATTTCATGAATTCTCTGCCTATGTCATTTTTAGTGTTTAACAATAAGCCAATAATATGAATCAAAGTTTTAAAGCTAAAAAGGAAAACATAAACAAAAAACAATTACTGTGAAAATATAAATACAAATATAAATTATAAAAATATTTCGAGACGAGTGTTTTAAATTTGTTTGTTATGATGAGGTGAGTTTTGCCTGCAAATGTTGCTTGTTTATTTCCAATCGCCTCAAAACTGTCAGTAGTCGGCTTAGCACAGTTCACAATTTCTGTTATACGATATTCAAACGAATTTAGGAGTGCTTTGCTAAATACGATAAGTCATCGTCACATGTCGTGATCGCTATCGATTACTTTGCTTACATTGTTTACCAAAGCTGCCAGTGGCAAAAGACGCGCATAGAAAAAAGTAGAGGATTTTTATTTTGCTGAGCATTAAATACAAAACAACAGAAACACATCGTGTTTGAAGTATATATGCATTATAATATATAATAAATGGACAAGTGCAACGAACATCTTCAGATTAAGCCGGCACGTCACAAACGCAGCTATGAAAACCAACACCAGTCGCAAATTGTATTTAGTGTGGACTCAAACCAATCCACTGATTTTGTCGTAGCCGAGTTCCATTTTGCTTACTTTTATTTGTTAGTCTTCTGCCGGGGAGACTGCAAAACCTGCTGGTAAGTGAATAACATTATCTAGATGGCAATCCCTTTGGTAGAGGTAGCGATTACATAGAAATAGGGTGGTGAAGAAGTCTATGTTTCCTCTGGCCAATATCTGTAGCACTGATGTTGAATTGAGTTGCCAACGTCTTGTGAAAGCATGTATTTATCCATTTTAATTATCATTGATGGTGTTTTAAGTAAAAAACAAATTCAACACATTATAGCTCAGAGCTCCTCAAGGACTCATCAGCCATAAGCAACCTTTATCTTTGCTGTCACATCAAATGCAAAAAACGAAACAGAAATGAAATATATTTATTTTTCAGCTTCAAATGCCAATAGAGCGAGAAAGACTGCAGCATGACAGAAGGTGGCTTCCAGTGGCGTGGTGGCTTCAGGGAGCAGGAGACAATACACGAGCGGCTTGGACAGCGACACTATACCTATGCCGAGTTCACCGCCTTCAGATCGAAGGTCAACTATAATCAGGAGCCACGATATGCCCCTTTGGGCATGGACATTGTGTACAAATTCATCCACTTTCTGTTCGAGCATTTTCAACATCTTGGCGGCGAATTGCCACCGGGTGGGTGTTAATCTAAGCTGGACCACTATAGTCACATTTAACGTATATTAGATTTCCTTCTAGGCTACATAGTGTTCAAGAGAAACGATACTCTCGATTTGGGGCCCAAGGCGGATCTAAATGACTGGCGAGATTTGCTGAAGAGTTACTGGTTGGCTTACTTCTGGGTGATGTTCTTGCTCTTCCTCATCATAGCCATGCCATTCATAGCGTGAGTGTGTTGACCCAACTGGCACATAAGGATCAGATTGTAAACCTTTCTTTTTATGCATGCACAGCGTGGGTTATTGCTGTCTCTGCTGCTGTCGACGTTGCCCGGAAGGAGAGCCACCCATCGACCTTAAGAGGGATCGGTTGTGGCGCCTCTTCTGGGCTTCTCTGCTGGTGCTGCTCATCATCGGAATGCTGTACGTATGATCATGGCAAAGGCCAGGACTCAGGACGCCAAAGACTCAACTCTAATTGCAGATTTGGAATCTATATTGCTATCGATACCAACAGATTGATGGATCGTGGCTTGGAGAATACAAAGGCAGCAATTCGAATTGCCAGCGAAGATGCTTGCACTTACCTCAGGGAAGTCTCGAATCACGTCCAGCATTTACTTGTGAATAACTACGAGGAGATGGACACACATCTAAGCGACATTTTGTCGAGTAAGAAATCCAGCTCAGTCTTCCCCATATTATCTGTTTAATCAGTGATCTATTATAGATGCACATACGCACATATTTTTGGATCTGATGGATGTGTCCGAGGCGAATGCGCTGTTTGATCTGGAACTCATATTGGATAACATGAAGAAGGCCCAAAAACTTTTGTGGGAAGTCGAGAAATTGAAGAGGGACTTACACTTTTACGGCACGCAGCTACGAGATGGTAAATAATCTCCAATTTTACTATTAATGGATATGATTTATTATTAATTATATAAGGCATTCGTGGCGTTAAGCGCGATGTGAACTTCGCCTGTGCTGTGCTCTGCGGCAATCGCGAATGCCTGCGCTTTCTAAGGCACACAGATATTCAGTATCTAGATACATCAAAATGTCTTCACTTCGACAAGGTGGCTATTTACATATACTTTATAATATATGAGCCACTCTCATTTAACTGAACATTTGCTCTCTCATGCAGCTGCCAGATATCAAACCCTATTTGATTGCAATGGAAGCAATCATTGCTAAGGATATTGGTAAGACAATCAGGCACGGAATACAGCGATTACAAGTTGTGGGCGAGTCGATTAGGAGCAAATTGGATCCGTTTATACGACCACTGCTGCGAGATGTTCATCGTGGCCAAGAATTGTATCGCATTCAAGCAAAGTCAATGCGCAACGTTATCGATACAATTATCAAGGACATCAGCTTGAATACGGTCAAATCCACTGGTATGTTTAAGAGCTTTCACGATAAATACGATTACCATCGCAGCAGCATCAATATCACTGTCTTTCTCTTTCTCCTCATTGTAAGTAAAAGTGTTATTTAAAAGTTAATTGCAAATATTCCAAATCAATTTCCCATTTTTTAGATTGTGATTACGCTGATTGGTGGTCTGGTATTCGGTATTTTTGGGCCTCATCGACGTGAATACGGCAATAAGTTGTGGAACAAGCGCACAGGAGCTTGGTGCTTGCTACTGTAAGTACACTCAGAGAAAGAAACGCACAAAATATTAGAAAATCATCCTGAAAAATATAAGAAAATATTGTATTACATATCAATCATCAAATATCCCAAAAATCCTTTCTAATATTCTTATTTATAATAGATTGATTCGAATCACTGTAAGGTTTTTCGAATCAAATCTTAAATGACTAAGATTCAGTGCGTTTTTCCTCAAGTGTAGATAATATATATTAATATTCTTCAGATATATATATCAACTGTTATTAATTGCAGCGCCATAATCCTGATATTCAGCGTGTTCTCGCTTGTCGTGCTGGTTGGCCTGTTTTACTTTGTCTTTGGGCTGATAACCTATCTGAGTGCCTGTGCACCGCTGACCAGTGCAGAATCGAATGTAATATTTCGATACCTCGACTCGACTATCTATATGAATCTGTATTGGCCAAAGAGCCAGAAAGAGCCCAAGCAAGAGGCGAACGCATTTCTGCGAATGTCGAGCTTAATCAAGGATTGCCACGCTGATGAATACATTTTCAATCTGCTGCAGAATAAGAAATTGTATAATATTGATGATATCATAAGCTTAAAGTTCATCGGCAGTTTGCCGAAAGTGAAAATATTTGAGGATCAGTTGGTCAACAGCTTGGCCATACTCACCGAGAAGGATAGTCGAGTTCTGAAGCATTTGCGATCGACTCATTTGTCGAGTTTTCACAGTGGATTATTCACCGACTTCCTGTGCAATGAACTGACTCCAGTCGATTTGCCCACAACGGTTAGTCAACTGAAGAAGCTGCATAGCAGCTTAGAAACCGATTGGAACATTTATGAATTTGCCCGAACAGCCCTGGACAATGAGGCGTCTAATCTGCAGAGATATCATGATGTCTACATTAGCAAGATTCAGTCCATTATTAAAAAGATGAGACAAAAACTGTTGGCGATCGACAAACTGATATTATATAATGGTCGGCCATTTAACCAGACCATTCAGCTACTGCACGATGCAGCTAAACGGGCCGAGATGTTCATCAAAGTGTCCGGCGAGCGTTATGTGAATGTGGTCTTTGCTAATATGACCGCTTTCATCAACGACGAGATCGCCGACTATGTCAATATGGTGCTGGACCAGTGTCACCGAAGTGTCGGCAATTGTGCACCGCTTTCGCGTATCTACAATCGTAGTACGGATTTGGTTTGCAGACGTCTCGTCGATCCCATGGTAAGTACACATATAAGTATATAGAAAGTATTTTCTAACATTTAGAGAAAAATATGTCTAATTTTGAGCAACTCTATCTATCTATCTATTAGTAGTTCAAGAGAATAGAAACATTTTAGATAGTTTATAAATTCCACGACTCTCACATAAAAGTCGAGGCAGTAAATTTCATCACTTGTTTCTGATTTGTAGAAAGTTTTCTAATAATAGAAAATTTATCTAAAAAACAAGCAACAACTCTATTTTTAAATATCATATCATTTCTATATTATATTATTTATAGAATGGTTTCTGGGTGGGCGTGATTCTAGCTGCCCTGCTTCTGTTGCCCGCACTTTTTGTGGCCCACCGTTTGATGTGCATTTACAACCGGATCTCCCCACTTGCGGGCATTGTGTAAGTGTTTCGCCTTGCACATAATATATTTTATTATATATAAATAAATTCACCACTGCCCTGAATAAAAGTCGTGCAAGCGTTGCACCATTGGGCGCACCGTTGGGCTTTCAGCAAACCTTTTCGCTCCATCATGAAATGACTGAGAATCGTTCTAAGGCGGAGAATAGAACCACTCCGATGTCGTCAACGCCGGATCTGGCGTCCTCAAGCAACAAAAGTAGCAGGCATAAAAAGCAAGAATAGCAAATGAAATACATTTAAAAAAGTGTTACAAATTTACACAATCGAAATAATTAGTAAATATTACATGTTTTGTTGTCATTTGTAATATTTCATTAAATTAAATTTTACCTTAAACAATAGCCAGACTGAGTGAACTAAGTCTTAATTCAGCCTCACACAAATCAAGTCTTGATTTCATTTAGAAGACTCACCAGAGACACACCTGGTCTCCCCATCAATCATGTGGTTGTCATAAAGCGCACAGCGCATCTAATCTTGTCCAAGAGACAAACCCTAAAACTGACTACCGGGTGAGCAAAGCCAGGCTGCAGATAAAAGTTAACCTGAGACTTCGACTTCGACTTTAGCTCCGACTCCGACTCGGATTCAGCGAAAGCGATAAAAAGACTTTAATGTTGAGACGGAGGGCAGACAATGCAAGGAAGCGAAACCAACTGGAGTCGAGTAGAGTTAGCTAGTTGAAGTGCACCGAAGCGTGTATACGCTTCCCAGACCATCTCCAATTAGGTTGCCATAAATTATACACAACAAAAGCATGTCTTCAGTTTGCCTAGAATTGGTTTTCTTTTTTATATATGTATTTAATGTGCGTCTTCTTGTGAGCAACTTAAGCCAAACCCTTCAACTTATTGTTCTGCGGATTACAATGGGAACCAGCAACTGGTTTTTGTTTATACACAGTGGCTTCCGTGTAGCAAGGCCATCGAAAAGTGAAAAGCAAGCCAAACATATGATTTTCATAATTATCATCTAAAAATTAAATCACGTTTCTTATCAGCAAAAAATGTGCCTGTTGATTTGGTTGTTGTTGCTGTTGTTGTTGTTGTTTTCGGTGAGTGCCTTTCTTTTTCAACAATTACCAAAATAAAAGCGAGAACAACAACAACAGCAACAATAACGAGCGTAATAACAAAGAAATTTCACTTTCAATTTGTGTGTGTATGTAAAAACAAAAGACTTAAGACACGAACTTGCCGCACACTCGCCGTCACAAGCGTAGTGAAGGTTAACTTGCCCGATTTGATTTGATATTCAATTGGTATAACGGTTTCGAAAGCCAACAAAATGGCCGTCAAGCGGACAACAGTGCAATGCACTCTCCAATCTATCAGACCCTATATATACATATATATATATATATATGTATAAACAACAAAAAGATCGTTACATTATCAAGATCAATTCTCGGGGTCTGTGTGTGAAATACGCACTTGCTTTGGCCTTTGTCTGACTGGCTATCTGTCTGCCTCTTTGTCTGTCTGTCTGTGGCGTGAAACTTTACCGGCATGTGAAACAGAGCGTTGCATTTCCATTTCTCATTTCTCACGTGAAAACTCGTGAAAACTGAAAACTGTGAAATTGGCACAGAATTGCAGCAGCTGTAAAAATGTAAAAATGTAAAAAAATAAAAAATAAAAAATAAAAGCTGGCTGCCTGATTGCAAATTGCACGCAATACGCATTAAAATGCACACAATTAAGTGCCATAAATGAATTACAGTGAAAGGCAGTGAAATTTATGGCACATGCAAAAAGCCTGAGAAGCAGCCCAAAAGGAGCTACCTCAACACAGATGCATAAGAAGCATTCAAAGGTCAACAAAAAAAGTGATTAATATTAGACACTAAATTAAATATTATAACACATTAAAATAAACACTAATTTTTGCTGTTTTATGCATAATATCTCAATTCATGAAGCCTACGCTTTACCAAAAACGAAAATGAGTAATAAATATTAAAATAAATTATATAATACATTTAAATAAACCTGTTTTAAGCAATGTTCTAAATGGCTAATCACATAATTATGCACGTGTAGGAGGAGCTCAACTGAAATCGATTTAGGGACTGGTCAAGACTGGTGGCAAACAGCAACCGGCTATTGGCGCTTTCGCTTTCAACTGTGCAATATGCGACTTTTGAAACTTAACACACACAGCTATGGAAATGAGTGTGTGGCTTTCTATCGTGTGAAATACACATACTTTCTGCATACGCTTAATATATATATTTTGTTAATCATAACTCCCAATTTGCATTTGCTTCATGCCCAAACACTAAACTTGTTTCAATTTACAAAATCTGTTAAATGCCAGCAATCCTTAGCAACTGCCACTGTTAATAACAGCGCCAGTTAGCAGCTGCTGTTGCTGCTGCTGCTCAATTTGAGAGTGCGAACGAGCTGCACAAAGGCATCGCAGCAAAAGAAATACATTTTCCATATGCAGCTCACAGAAGCAGCAGCAGCAGCAGAAAAACAACAGTTGTTTTTAATGTTTGTACGCCTCTCTCCGTCTCTCTCTCTCTCGCTCTGCCTCTTTATATGGCTCGCTTGGACGTGGCCAGCCAAGTCAAAGAGGCGAACGCAAACTTCACTCAACTTTGAGTTGTCGTCAACGTCGACGTCGACGTCGGCGTCGTCGTTGTCGTCGCTGCTGTTGTCTTGGCTGTTGGTCGCGACTGCGCACAAATCAGTTTCAGTTTTTCAGTCCAACGTGCGAGTTCGCAACGCGAGTAACGGTTAGTAACTAACGGAGTCAGAGCATTTGAAGTTTTTCAATGAATAGTGACTAAGCAGTGCAACCACAATAAACCCAAAGAAGAAAACAAATACCTGCAGTGTAGTGTAATACAAATAATAATCAAGAAGAAATTTGTACCATTTTTTACATAGTGCATTTGGAAAGAAAAAGAACTGGATTAGTAAAGTTGGAGGCAAAGAGAAGCAGAAGAGCCGCTAAAAAATGGTGAGTGAGGAGTGCATAAAAAACGAAAAAACTATGCAGAAGTGTGTCAGGCTAACCAAGAACAAAAGAACTATGAACAAAACAGAAAAAGCAATTATCATATTCACTTCGAGCATATATGCATACAAATCGAGAGAATGAGAGAGGCCAAAAAGCATGCCAAACTATAAAAAAAAATGTATATATAAAAAAACCAACGTCAAACATAAAACATAAAACGGTGAACGTAAAAATGAATGTTGAACAGAGAACAGCTCAGCTTGGAGAACGTCACACAGACAGAAAGACAGCAAGACAGACTGGGTAATGGACGGGGGGTGGGGGGCTAAGAATAATAAGTAGTCACAGCGATTACGATTTCGATTACGGGTTCTGAATGTTGTTGGAGTTGGCTGGAGTTGTCTGTGCCGAAGTTGAAGGCAAACCTGTCAAAGACAATGGCTTTATAAATATCACTACAAAATTCTGAACAAAAGCCGAGTTTCAGTTTCGCTTTTTATTCAGTTTTCAGTTTTTTTTTTTAGCTGCAGCGCTTTTCATTTGTGGCAGCTGCTTTTACTTCCTTGGAGTGGCTCTTAGCGTTTTCCATTATGGCCAGCATTATGGCTAGCAACAAACAGCAAGCAGCACGCCATCGACAGCCAACTGTAAACTGGCCACGCCTCAATTTGGTCAAGTAAAAGTCGACTGCCAGGCGAACAGCAACTAGTTTTCTGCCTATGCGATTTTACAACAATTAATATTTGCAACAAACCAACAAACAAACAAAAATAAAAAAAAAAAGAGGAAAAACGAACACGAATTCCAACAAAAAAAAACCTACAACTGCTGGCAGTCAATCGTCGTCGTCGTCGTCGTCGTTGTTGACTATTGGCAAATCCGTCGTTGGCCAAGCGGCCAAGTTGGCCCAAAAAACTGGTCTCGCACAAATTGAAAAACCCGCAAAAATTAGGTTTGAAATACGCGAAACGAGTCGCGATACAAAAGAAAACAGCAAATCCAACCAAAACTAGAGACACGAAAAGGAAAAAATTAAGAAAACGCCAAACGATTTTTGAATTAGTTTAAATTAATTATTCACTCGCAATTTCATTTGGTTATTTCCCCCCGCCTCCCCCCAGTTGCTAGCCCAATCTATTGTGTATTGTTGTATTGCAATTGTTGCTGTGTTAGTTAAGTCTTCACGAGCTAATTGGTTTTTATTAACTCGGCGATTGTTAATTAACTGAACTGGGCTGAAATCCGCTCCCCAATCCCCACACAGTTGCTGGCACGCCCTCGTCAATAGACAAGCGTAACTGACATATGCACCTTTTTTCCTCTCTGTGTATTTGTTGGTTTTTGTTTTGTTGGCTTAACTCTCACTTTCATTTGGCTGAAGTTTCGTTGTCGTTGTTGCTTTGACAATTGAGTGAACACTCGCACAGAATTTGTTTGTTTCACAAACAATTCAAATAACGACTCGACTTTTACGATGCCCCTCGATGCGATGCTTGTGTTTACATTTCGAATGGTACAAAACATAAAAAAAAGAGTGTTGCTTTAGTAGACAAACAAACACACACACACGCACACACTCACACTTCAATATAATAATTGCACATTGCACAGGCAATGACAGACTTTCTCCCAAAAAAATAAAATAAAAAAGTCAAGCGTTTGTTTTTTTGTATCGGAAGTTGGCAATAGCCAACTGGGCGCATGCGTAATTTAAGGCCTCTCTTCACAAATAAAAAGCCATTCAAGAAATGCCAAGTAGCTGTAAACTTATTATTCAACTGCTGCTACACTTTAGCTCTACAGCTCTTAATATGTAGCTGCAACTTTGTATTGTGAGAGCTGCTTGAGTGTGTATCTATAAAATGACAAGAATGTTTCGGCTGCTGCGGCAAAGCATTTACTTGACTCATTTATTATACACTCAAATCATTAAAAGTGGTAAAATGGTGTGTGACAGGCTGAAGGAAGCATTTACGCACCCATAAAATATATAGATTCCTGATCAGCCGTGTTAATTTAGCCTTGTCTGCATAAGCAAAACAATCTCAGAGACTGAGAATTGAATATAATTAAAAATGAGATACATTTTATTTTATTTATTCGATAGCAGCTTCCGTTTCGCAAATATAGTATAGAGATATAGTACTTCTCTTAATATATATTAGCTATATAAACACATGTCAAAATGTCATCAAGATCTATTAAGAAACACAGATTTTGTGAACAAATTATTATCAGCAAGCTTTTACTCTATCTTTAACAGCTATTTATAGGGTAACTCCTAGTCGAGCTGTCTCATTCTCACATTTTTTTTTTATTTTGTTATTTTCTGTCGTTTTTATCTGAGATATGCGAGTCACAATTACTTTGGCCTAGCCCTGACAGCAGGCAGCCTGCAGCTGCAGTTGAGTGTTGTTCAAGCTGAGGCTGAAGTTGTAGCCGAGTGGGCAGCCTCTCAATTGTTTGTGCTGCAGTTTAAACAATACTCGCACACACATACACACACACATACACACACTCGCACACACATACACACACACATACACACACACATACACACACACACACACACACTTATACACACTCACATCTGTATGCACATTACAGCCATAAAGCACAAATGAAGCTTGCAATTCACTTTTATGTGCAACACAACATTTGCATATGCCACAAAAATAAGTCAATGAAAAAAGCATCAACTGGTTGTTGAACCATTGCTATTGCTAACTATTGCCAGCCATTTGTTGGCTATTGCTGGCTGTGTAGTTCAAGTCCATAGCTAATGCAAAGTTAGCGTCACAATTCGAATCAGCAGACAAATAAAAATAAAAACAAAACGTGCCAAAACAAATAACTTAGGCAACGAACCTTCTGCTTTGCCCAGAGCAGGAAGTATGTCGTCTAAAGTCGACAACTCTGGCTTTGATTATTTGAATAAGTAAGTTAGTTCACAATATGCGACATAATTGACACACGCACGCACACACACACACACACACAATGCTCAATGCCAAATGAGAGTGGAGCATAATAGACAAATAAAGCTAATTGTGAATTGAGTTTATTTTATGGACACCCAACTAGATATCAATCATTTGTCACAGCAAAAGAGTTGAACACAATAAATATATATATATGTATATACATTAATCGAATTGGAAATCGGGGGCTCACAAGACTCCAAGCGAAATTCAACTCGTTTTGCTGGTTGTTATATAAAAATCTATTTGCATATATTAAAACGCTACACATAATCATAAGATACAAAAATACATACAAAACACAAAAAAACAAATCATTATCAGCCCAAAATCATTGAGAAGCGATCAGCGTTTGCCCCCTTTGCTAAATGCTGTTAATGAATATATATATACAAATATATATATCTTGAGCTATATTCAACTTTGAAACACAACAGTTGCTCAACTGTTTTTTTTGCGTAATGTTTGATTTTGTATTTATCTTTTTGGCGTTTGGTAACTTTGCTCAGATTTTGTTTTTTTTTTTTGTAATTTTTTGTTGTGGGTTAATTAAACTAATTAACTGTGAATGCAATTTGTTTTTGGCTATCGTTTTAGTTTCATTTTCATTTTGATTTGCTGTTGTGGCCCTTCCGCCGGCCGCAATTAACTTTATCTACGTTTTATATTTTTTGGCAATAAATTTAACTGACAATGCCATAAAAACGTTTGGCTTAATACCGTTGGCCGTCTAGGCCATAAGCCGCTCTATAAACTGGCCAGCCTCGAGTCGATCGTCATTTCATTTGAATATTTCTCTGAATATATCTGTGTATACCTAAATAATTATATATACTTACTTACTTATTCATAGACTTGTACACAAACTGGTTTGCTTTGTTTTTGGTCTCTGCTTCGATTTGGCTTGAAAAGGTTAAAGTTGAGCCCATGCATAACTTAATCAGCTACTAGCTTACCAGCTAGTACACGTACTAACTTAAGCAAACACACTCGGCGCATCCATCCACATTGCAAATGCCACAAAACACAAAATTTCACTTTGTGTTGCACGTTGTTTGATTTTTTTTCTCACTTTTCTCCCTCTTTTTTTTGTTGATTTTTTTTTTATTAATAAAAGCGCATATGTTTTACATAATCCTCCTCCTAACGAACTTACACACTGACTATGCTATGACATAATGTCCGGGCCACTCATCAGTTCCTTGTTGTTGTTGTTGTGATTGCTGTAGGAGCTGCTGGAGCTGTTGGAGCTGTTGGGCGCACGCCCAACTCATCAAAAATGCATATGAAACCACAACCAGAAAGCAACCAAATTCGACAACTGTGCCTCGAGCAAAGCAAACGAGAGCTATGATTTTACATGCGGTTACATATCTTATATAAATATGATTTATTGGTGGCAAACAAATTTATTTGAATATTAAATTGTGTGAGTAAAAATACAATAATCAGTTTTCTTTATAAGCATTCCCTTGCCATAATATTAATGAGTTAAAATCTTGAAGCTGTAGTGTGGAATGTTATCTTAAAAGTGAAAGAATAAAAAAGAGACGTAAGAATTTTAATTCAAGGTTGTTCATTCTGTAATAAATCTGGTTTCGAACTAGGAATACGATCTTGACTTAAGAGTTATTCCGTTCTGTTAACTTTGTATACGTTTTGTACATGCTTGATGCTGATTATATTAATATAATTAAGTTGTGTCTGAAAGAAGCATCTTCGCACTTATAAAGCATTTAAAGCTGAGTCGATACAGCCGTCTAAGTCTGTCTGCCTAATCAACTCGATCTCAGGCACTATAAGAGTTGGAGACTCCAAATTTTGAATGCACGTTCTCGCCACATTAAGATCGAGTTTATTTAATTTGACCGATTATCGATGCACATCTATTTCCGATAGCAATAAAAGACTTAATTGTGTAGTTAATGAGTTCCAATTAAATCTGTTTTTGATTTAGTATTAGAAACACAGATTTTCTTAGTCAAAACTAATATCAGATATCGACAAGCTTTCACAGCT